TGGAGGACTAAGAACCTTCAGCAGAACTTTCTAAGACTGTTAAAATCTTCTGTAATAAACATAAAAGAACTTGTTTTCTGTTCCGACACAAACCAGAACCAGAAACCAGCTGGAAGCCCTTTCAGGACCCCAGCAGCATCTTGAGTTCAGACATTAAAAAGTGTGACTGAGAATAAATCCGCTTGATTGATTCCAGGAGACCAAACTAAGTCCAGAAACCATCAGGAACATTAGAAGAACTGACGGACCGGTTCGGATGTTTGGCAGCAGAACATACATGTTGGATTATTTGGACCCACTATCTGTTCGGGGAAAGACTGTAAACCCGGATAATCAGACTTCAGTGGTTTCCAGAGACGAGCTGCTTTCGGTTCCTGCCGTGCCATACTTTGTTCTGCAGTACGAACCCGAGCTCTGAGGAAGTTCTAGAACCTTTTCGGGAGTTTTATAGAACCTCGAGCAAAGTTCTGACCCACCAGCAGCCGCTTCTATCCAAAACAACCAGGAAACCACAAAAACGAGCTCGTATCTCCGGTTAACCGACCAAACCAGCGCTTGGTTGCTGATCAGTCCGAACCTGATCACCCGAAAGCCACGCGCGCCCTCGAGCTCACAGCGGCGGACGAACCGGTTTCGTTCGCGTGTCTGGGGGGTTACCGTACAGTCTATGGGGGTTACTCACGTGGGTTCTGCGGACAGACGAGGCTTGTACGGGTCAGTGTTGGCTCTGTGACCACCGCGCGAAGGAACGACGAAGCAGCAGAGGCGACAGCAGCAGACTGATGCAGGGAGCGGATAGATGGATGTCTGAGAGGGCTCAGGTGTGCTGCCACCACGTGGCTGAGAGCGGAAGTACACGGTCCGAACCCACGAGTCTAACCGGAAGTTGTTTAGGTTTCAGATTAAAGAGCGCGAAATGAAAACATAAGTCAAAGTTGGGAGTTGATTTATGGCAAAAAAAACACACCAGAACTTCTGAGCCATGATTAGTTCAGGAAAAATTCTTGTGCTAAAGTATTTGGCCACCTGCTTGCTATTCGTGCTATGCATAATCACGTGTAATCACACGCCCTATTATTAGTTTTCTTGATTCATTTTTCCTACTTGGTAGGATTCCAGCATAGACGATATATATATATAATATATTAAACATTTATATACACGTATTTATGAGATTCCAGGATGTGAGTCCTGCTGAATCTTATCAGTTATCCATCTTTAGGCTGAGACTTTTACACCCACTCAGCACGTGTTTACATTAGAGTTTAATGTAAAACTCCCCCCAAAGAAATTGTTTCATTTATGTGGTCAAAAAAATAAAAGAAAGCAAGACCTAAAGAAACAGGCACAGGAATTTCAATCAGCATTTAATTTCTATTATTTAAATACATTTTCTCCAGATCCGCTGACTGAAGGCAACAGTATTAGAGTTGTGTTCTGAACTGATGGCCCGGTTGGGGGTGGTGATGAGGTCAGGGTCCGTCTGCAGGGCACAAAGCTCCTACTCAGACTGTAGCAACACATTCAGTGAGTCAACTGCATTTAGCCTGTAAATGAAGTCATTCTGCAGCTAAACGTCACAATTCTTCAAACGACTGGTTTCACCTGAGGCATTGCATCGTGACTGCTGATGTCAGAGTCCGACTCATCCCCACAAACTCACGTCAGCCTGAGTTATGAGATCAGTCGGTCAGCAGTTAAACACTCAGTCACCATTTCACACTAATGAAAAAGATTCTGACTGAACACATTTCAAGTCAGGAGCCAAAATTGTACCAAGAAAAAAAATAAAAAATAAAAAACAATTTTCCAAGCACTTGAACGTACGTAATTAAATACACAAGTAAAATTATATTAAAAAAAACAACATTTTATTAAAAACTTCTCCACTTTCAGTTACGGGAACAAACACACTCCATTGGAAATTCACTTCTTTAGGAACGCAAAAGCTGTGAACAAGTCTGAAAAGGTTATGTGTTCCTCTCTCAGAGAGATGACAAAATAAAGTGCTAGTAAAACATCTAATATGTTTCAAAATAAAAGTCTTAATTGTTGATCAAAGCAGCAGCCATTTTCTTTAGGACTGGAGACTTCAGCTGAGGAATGAGGCTGATCTTCATCAGCTTGCTGCTCGAGTACTTGTTCTTCACCGCCTGCAGGAACATCCAACAGTTACCTTTATATGACCATGTTAGAAGGGGAGGGGCTTAATTCTTCTGGGACTCACCAGGAACTTTGTTTTCCCTTCGTTCACCATCACAACATTCTTGGCGATGTGCTGCATGATTGGCTTCAGGTGGGCCTCGTCGTAGGTCGAGTAGTGCTGCTGTGTGGGCGACTGAGGATGAGGAGATCCATTTAGACAACTGACCTGAAACAGCCGAACCAAACAGGAAGTAGAACTCACCCATGGCAGTACATCCATCAGCAGCTGGGAAAGGCACAGGGAGGCAGCAGCGATCTCAGAAGGCCGGTAGTGGACTAGCTGGTAGTCCAAGAGGGTCAGCTCCATCAGATACTTGGCCAAAGTGTGTTTCTCTAGATCAGTCTGACACAAAAACAGTTCAGATTTTAAAATCAAGACTTCAGAACACCTGGGTCCAAACAAAACATCTTCAGATTTCACTTCCAAAGACCTTCAGAAAACCTGAAGAATTGCTGATCAGGACCTTTAAAGGTTAGAAAGTCTGGTTGCTTGGAAGGAAAACCTGAATAAATGAATTCCAGTCTCGCACATCAAACTCACACTGGCCACTTTGGAAGCCCGCCTGAGGAAGTGTAACGGCAGCGGGCGTCCCAGCTGGAAGTTGATGCCCCTCAGAACCAGCTGCTCCATGTCCAGAATCTGAGCCCTACTGAAGGCGTTGTCAGTGATGTAGGCAAAGTCTCCCACCTCTGGCGTGTACATCTCCTCATATTTACAGGCCAGCAGCATGGAAGTGACGCCGACCAGCTGCAGCTTCCTGCGAGAGACCGGTTGGACCTGCAGAACCGCAGCCGAAGCTTTCACATCCAGCTAAGCTCAGAAGCAGGTGGAGATGATTCAGCAGGCATTACCTGGAGGAACCTGTCTAGAATAGCCACGGTAAGGTACAGAGTCTCCTGTAGCAGCTGGAACCTGGAGTGGACCTGGACCAGCCAATCGATGAGGAGCGCCCTCATGCGCTCATTGATGTCATATCCCTGCATGTAGTTAGCTCGTACAGCCTGTTGCACCTGAGGAGCACAGCTACGTCACAACTGAGCCAACACCTGGAGCAACTGGGCAACAACAGGAAGTTACCTCCAGAACGTGCAGGTAGTTGTAGATGTCCTTGACATATTCAGAGCAGAGCTGAGGCAGGTGTCCATCCTCCTCATCCACATCCTGCACCATGAGCAGAACCTGTGAGAATGCCTGGCATAGCTTTTCCTCCTTCAGGTCAGCTGGCTCCTCTGTAAGTGAAGGGAGCATTTCTGTCGCTGCTGGGATCTGGACCACAGCAGCCTGATCCGGAGCCAGCTTCACTTCCTGGGAACCAGCTGGTTTCTGTGATGCTCCTTTCTTCTGTGGAAATGTAGAGTTCAAAGCTTAGGAGAAAATAAACAGCAGCAAACTGAGTAGAAAAACAAGTTACGTGATTAATGGGTAAACATTGGATTTGTGTTAAAAAGACAATAAAAAAAAACTTTAAAACAAAACCCTTAAAGTCATGAGAGTATACTCCGAGCTACGGTGTTGAGCTACCTTAGCGTTGTGTGGTTTGCGGTTAGCTCCGGTAAAGTTGGTTAGTTCTCCCAGAGCAGCCCTCCTCGGAGCCGCCGTGGAGCTTTTACCCATCTTCAGAGGGTTTTCTGTGGCTGGCAGCAGCTGCAGACACGAACGAACAAACAGAAACACGTTGAAAAGGTTTAAAAACAAGCTAACTCGCGGCTAGCCGGAGATGCTAACTGCTAACAAACTGTAGACTCACCGCAGCTCGAAGCTCCACGGACATTTTTGAACGTCTACGGCGGAAACAAGAAATATTGACTTATAATAAAAAACTTAACGATTCTGTTCACCGTTAAGCACAGCCTAATCACGACGAGTGACTTCAAATAAACAACACAGACATGCGGCATTCAAATAGCGCTCCGGCGCTTCTGATTGGATACAGCTGGGAGGAGGAGGCTGCTGACTGGCTGATAATCTGAGGTCACATTTCAGATCAGTCTCTAAAATATTCATTGTTTTTAATAATTTTAGAAGAACGTCCACTACAACATCTGATTAGTTAAATATTACTATCAATATTTTTAAAAGTTAATGACACATTTTTCTCTACTACTATTGTCGTTCAAATCTGTACTTTAAATCTTTTTAAAATACATTAAACGAATTTAGCGATTTTTGAGCTCAAAAATGTAAACTTGGAACTATTTTTACGAGCAAAGACACAATCTGTTTCAGTTTCGTGCATCTCTAAAAATACCAAAATAGCCCTGGTTTGATAAGTGTTGATAACAGGACTTTGTGCTTAAAGAGCAAGTCACCCCCAAATCTACATTTTTTTCCTGATAAACTACACACATGCGTGTCTAATCGTGCTGCAGACACGTGTAGTCAATAGTTTAGCACTTTAGTGCATTTTAGTTAAAATTTAAATTTTCTGCCTAAAGCTGGGCGGACACTGTGCGACCGTAGCACTCAGCTTCAGCTCAAACTGTACAACTTCCTCGCAGGGCAGATCTCACGAGTCATGTGCTCACACTGTACGACCCAGTTCTCGGATGTGACCTGACTGCTCACACTGTAAGTCTGGTAGCAACAAGTCAGACCTAAAATTATGCTAAAAATAGCAGTTTTTACACAACACATCAGACTTCTTTGTCTTGTTTCGCCTGTTGTCCTTTGGGAGTGCTGCAGGAGGACACACAAGATTCATGGGGGTTGGATGAGGAAAATGAAATAAAGAAAGTAAATCTGTTGTAACTGTCCCTGAGACAGTTAAAATAAAGTTGTTTATTTCAAATGTTTCTGTGATAGAGAGATGCTTAATTTGGTTCATTTAATTACTAGATAAGATGATAAAAGTGTAACATTGATTTAAAAACATGTCTAAAATATGTGATTACAAAATATGGGTTTGTTAAATATGTAACGTGCTGTAAAGTTTGTATGAGGTAGAGTTTGTAATGGTCACATGATCAGAGTTTGTTTGACAGCGCAACCATAGCAACCATAGCATGGATACATGGCTACAGATGTGTCTACAGCCTCGACGTCAATGTCATTCTGCATGTGGTCCAAGAGGCGCACACGGTATGGTTTCATGTATAATGTTTGTATAATGTTGCATATGTGTTCTACACTGGTAATGAGAAGACATTTTTGTGATTCATTATTGCGCATTTTCTTTCTGTTCTGCTTGCACGAGACTGTTTATGGACAATGGTCTGAGAGACTGATAAGTTCAAACCGTTATTGTGTAAACTTTGTGTTTCTTCAGTTTTCACGGTGTCTGAAGACAATAAGAGAGAGAGAGAGAGAGCAAAATAAACATCCGAAGACATCAGTATGATGCGTGGCCATTCTTTGTTGGACCCCTGTAGTTACATCTGTTTTGTGATCAGTTTAATTTGACATGAACACGACAAACACGCTTTCTTGACAATCATTGTGAGTAATGTGGCAAGGTGGAGAAATGAGGGCCCAGGCGGGATCCCCAGACTCTCGGGTGAGATACGCTCTAACCAGTCAGCCAAAGGGACATCCCCTTGGACAAGTAGCCAGGGCGCATGATCAATCGGGACACTGTGACAGGACACTCACACTGCCACAGTAAAAAAACAACCGTGTAGAAATAAAAACGAACAACGTGTGTTATTAGGGAAATAGCGGGCGAGCAGTGTTGAAGCATGATTGCGCATGCGCCATGAGCGGTTCTGGTACTTTTTGGGTCGCAGCCGCTCCCCACGCTGCTTCAACAGTGCGATACCCTCACGAGGAACGAGCAAAATATCAAACACTCCAGAAGTCCGTGCGAGCTCACGATTGCTGATCAGTAGCTGGTCACGTGGGGTTAATCGCCTCTTGTAACCCCCTGTACACTACACGACACTCAGTGCAAAACTCGCCCTGATCTTGTGGATTCTCGCACGAGTGGAAAATCGGCTCAAAAAATTGAAAGAGTCGCAGTGTACGCCCGGCTTAAAACTGTCAGTGTTGTGCCGTTGTCAGGTAAAAACTCTGCACTGCATTTGAATTTAAATCTGCCATCGCTATTGGCTAAGAGGTACCCTAGGACGTTAGCTGGTACCATATGATGTCACAATGTCATGAGCCTGTGTGTGTGTGTGTGTGTGTATTTGTTAGCGACGCTGCCCTCTGGGTCTGCTGGGCAACAGCATTTGATGCATTTTTCAAACAGAGAATGGGAGTGGAGTAATACTCTGGTAGGGGGTGACTTGCTCTTTAATAAGTAAAATAAAACCTCGTAAATATACTGTGCACATGTGCTCCAGCTGTTTTTATGTTGACCACTGAAATTAAACACATTTCATTAAAATCATTTATTCTGAATGAAATCTGCAGGTGCATCACAATGAAGCAATAAAACCGTACAAAAATACAAAATATGAGTGAATGAAAAAACGCTTTTCTTGCTGTGATCAGAAAACACGTTGGCTCATATTTGTCCAACAAGCTCACACTTCTGAGTCGCTTTATTCTTTTATCAAAATCCTCACTGAAACATCAAATATTTCACAGCCAAATTAAATCTGCAGCTGTTTAATCTGTGGCTGGTTGTTGGCAGCATCGGCCTGTTGGATATAAACCCAGTAAAGGAAAAATGGATGTAAATGAATCCGTCACTGATGTTGATGAGTTTTATCAGTTTGGGTTGAGTGAAAGTGCTCCAAGTGGAGGTGATTTTATAAATGATAAAGTGCCAAAAAAAAAAAGGAAGTTAAAATTAAATATTTGCGTCGAAAATTTTCACAAAATATAAAAAAAAAGTTGTGATTTCTGTCGAGGAGCAACTGAAGCTGAAAATAAAACTAAATGGATCCAAATGTTCTGAAAATTACCTTCCAGGCTATAACGCCTGCTCTGGTCTTCTTTTCTCTCCATTTTTCCTTCCAGCAGCAAGACATTTCTGAACTAAAGCGGTTCTAGATCAGGAGTTTCTGAAGGAGGTTTTTTTTTAACTTTGCCTTGATTTTGATCTTGGTACCAGTTCTAGTACCAAAAAACTTTCAGACGAATGTTGGTTTAAAGGCCATTTCCACTCTGAGGAACATTCAGAACATTTTTTTAATCAAAATACAAAGAAATCAAACCTGGATCGAGATCTGTTTTTTCTACAATCAAAAAAACAAATGAGTGATATCGATAATTCATCCTTCCTGAGATTTTCCTGTAATCTTCCTTTCCTGGTTAAATGAAACAGAAATGGATCTGGCTGAAGCTGTAAGTCAGTCTGAAAAACTTCAAACACAGGAAGTCCTTTATATGTGTGGTTTCTGCCCTCCTCTCTAAGAAAACATGTTTATAAAGCAGATTATAACAAAATCAGATGAACAGGAGACAGCACAGCACCACCAGCAGCAGCAGCTTTAATCTGGACCACGCTCAGTTCCTGTTTTGGTTGGTCTGGAGATACTCGTTGTGCAGCTTCTCCTGTGCCTCGTAGAGCTTACGCAGCTTCTTGGCTTGCCCTTTACTGATCTCCTTCCCATCAGCATCGTGAGTGGGGAAACCCTGTGGAGAAGAGGATGTTACGGACAGCTTCTCAAAGAACAAAACACAGATGTTCAAAATCTCTCAGTTAGTTTCACTTTTACTCGGATTAGTTAACTAAGCTTAGCTAAGACTTCTACCTCATTACCAGGACTGGTACGATCCTGTAAAACCTGCTGTACCAAATGCAACACACGTATTCTGCCCCCTGGTGGAGGATATTAATATTTCAGGGATTTTTCTTATTAAAAATTACACAAGTAAAATTTTATCTGGTATTTCCTGTTTTTAGCATGAACGGGTTAATAAAGTTGTTAAAGAGCAAGTCACCCCCAAATCTACTTTTTTTCCTGATAAACTATATAAATGCGTGTCTAATCGTGCTGCAGACACATGTCGTTAATAGTTTTGCACATTTTAATAATAGTTTAGTACATTTTAGTTAAAATTTTAATTTTCTGCTTAAAACTGTCAGTGTTGTGCCGTTGTCAGGTAAAAACTCTGCACTGCATTTGAATTTAAATCTGCCATCGTTATTGGCTAAGAGGTACCCTAGAATGTTAGCTGGTACCGTATGATGTCACAGGCTGTGTCTCAATTCAGGGTCTGCATCCTTCGCCGGCCGCATTTGTCGGCCGGTTACGTCACAGCGCCGCGACTAGGCCTGTCCCAATTCGAAGACTCCTTCAAATGCGGTCGACGAATCCGGCCTTCTTTTCGCCTGAATGAAGGATGGGTCCGGTGTATCCTCCAATGGTTTACATTTCCCAAGATGCCTTGCGGGCCGGATGGCAGAACTTTAAAAAACAATGGCGTACAGTGAAGCGGGAGCTGTCGGAGAGGATTGCGCACATAAATGTAAGTATAAACTTGAAAACTGTTAGGTTAAGGACTTTTGGTGATACATGAACGTTATTTTAGTTAGAAATGTTACAGTAAAAGTGCTTGTATTGCGGTCTCGGCTCGTATGTTCGGCCGCTCGGTGTCGTACTTCTCCCTCTACGTTTTCCCCCTGATTTTAATAGGAGTTTGTATTTTGGGGACATACGAGAAAACCAGGGAATTTATTAAGCTTAGGGCGGAGATGGACCACATGATCACTGGAGCAAAGTATTCGGCGGCTGTGGCATGGAGGTACAATAACATCTCATATTTTAAAAACTCATTTGAGTTTATTTTTTTTCTGCGAAAACACGAAAGGAATAAACCGTTGTCCTCTTTTCTCTTCCTGTTGTTTTTCTTACATGTTTTTTAAGACTACAGGTGCTGGCCAGTAAATTAGAATATCATCAAAAGGTTGAAAATATTTCAGTAATTCCATTCAAAACGTGAAACTTGTACATTTTATTCATGCAATGCACACAGACCAATGTATTTCCAATGTTTATTACGTTTAATTTTGATATTTATAGGTGACAACCAATGAAAACATCAAATCTGGTATCTCAGAAAATTAGAATATTCTAAAGGCCAATGAAAAAATGTTTGTTTCTCTAATGTTGGCCAACTGAAAAGAATGAACATGAAAAGAATGTGCATGTATAGCACTCAATACTTAGTCGGGGCTCCTTTTGCCTCAATAACTGCAGTAATGCGGCGTGGCATGGACTCGATCAGTCTGTGGCACTGCTCAGGTGTTATGAGAGCCCAGGTTGCTCTGATAGTCGTCTTCAGCTCCTCTGCATTGTTGGGTCTAGCGTATTGCATCCTCCGCTTCACAATACCCCATAGATTTTCTATGGGGTTAAGGTCAGGCGAGTTTGCGGGCCAATCAAGGACAGGGATACCATGGTCCTTGAACCAGGTGCTGGTGGTTTTGGCACTGTGTGCAGGTGCCAAGTCCTGTTGAAAGGTGAAGTCTGCATCCCCATAAAGTTGGTCAGCAGCAGGAAGCATGAAGTGCTCTAAAACTTCCTGGTAGACGGCTGCATTGACCCTGGACCTCAGGAAACAGAGTGGGCCAACACCGGCAGATGACATGGCACCCCACACCATCACTGACGGTGGAAACTTTACACTGGACCTCATGCAACGTGGATTCTGTGCTTCTCCGCTCTTCCTCCAGACTCTGGGTCCTTGATTTCCAAAGGAAATGCAGAACTTGCTTTCATCAGAAAACATAACTTTGGACCACTCAGCATCAGTCCAGTCCTTTTTGTCCTTGGCCCAGGCGAGACGCTTCTTGCGCTGTTTCTTGTTCAAGAGTGGCTTGACACACGGAATGCGACACCTGAATCCCATGTCTTTCATGAGTCTCCTCGTGGTGGTTCTTGAAGCGCTGACTCCAGCTGCAGTCCACTCTTTGTGGATCTCCCCCACATTTTTGAATGGGTTTGTCGTCACAATTCTCTGCAGGGTGCGGTTATCCCTAGAGCTTGTACACTTTTTTCTACCACATTTTTTCCGTCCCTTCGCCTGTCTGTTAATGTGCTTGGACACAGAGCTCTGCGAACAGCCAGCTTCTTTAGCAATCACCTTTTGTGTCTTGCCCTCCTTGTGCAAGGTGTCAATGATTGTCTTTTGGACAGCTGTTAAGTCAGAAGTCTTCCCCATGATTGTGGTGCCTTCAAAACAAGACTGAGGGACCTTTTAAAGGCCTTTGCAGGTGTTTTGAGTAAATCAGCTGATTAGAGTGGCAGCAGGTGTCTTCTATATTCAGCCTTTTCAGAATATTCTAATTTTTTGAGATACCAAATTTGGAGTTTTCATTAGTTGTCACTTATGAATATCAAATTTAAATGTAATGAACATTGGAAATACATTGGTCTGTGTGCATTGCATGAATATAATGTACAAGTTTCACGTTTTGAATGGAATTACTGAAATATCTTCAACCTTTTGATGATATTCTAATTTACTGGCCAGCACCTGTATTCTGGAGAAAATGGGCATCCAGGGGAAGGTGACAGCGATGACCAGCTTCTGGAGCTGATCAGGGAGGACATGAGGCTGCAGAGGGAGGCAGAGCAGCAGAGGGCACAGGAGAGAAGGGGGAGCTTTGACAGCTTTTTACTTTGCTAGAAAAAAATGGTTAATAAAGATTAAACATGTACATATAAAAGAAATATCTAAATAAAATCAGTTCTGTATTAAACTCTTGAATTTTATTTTTGTTTACAAATGTGAATTGTTTACTAGAGGGTATCCGCTGGGTCTTGAAAAGTCTTAAAAGGTGATAAATCGGTTTTGGTCAAATTAAGACCCTTAGAAAGTATTAAAAACTATTATCACATCTTTGCTCAGGCTCAGCTTGTCGAAAGTATTTTCTCTGAATTAGCTCTCCAACAGTCAAGGAAATTATTAAAAAGCTAAATAAAACTTCGAGCTCCATCGTTTAAAGTTGCTTCTCCCTTCTGCTCAGCGGTTCCACGGTTCCAGGCGACGAGACGTTCGCCGAGGGAGTGGCGGGAATTCATGAAGGCTAGGCCTGTCCAAATTCACAGCCGTTAACATCCGTCTACTCGGCCGACGGAGGACCCAGCCCACGTCGGCCGAGTAGGCTGGGTCCTTCGAAGGATGCAGACCCTGAATTGAGACACAGCCAGTGTCACTGTGAGCCTGTGTGTGTGTGTATTTGTTAGCGGCTCCACCCCCTCGGTCTGCTAGGCAACAGCATTTGTTGCATTTTTCAAACAGGAAGTGGGGGTGGAGGAATACTCTGGTAGGGGGTGACTTGCTCTTTAATAAGGACAGAGCGACGTGTGTCAGAGGTTGCTGGTTTAATAACCGCTGAGCTGAGTTTTGTTGCAGCTGAAATCTTTTATTATCAGCCGGAGAAAACACAAACAAAACAGTAAAGTTATGTTGTTTAGATCTTATGAAAGTTTTACCGTCTCATCGAATCTGGAATATTTGTCCGTTTCAGAGCGAAACATGTCAGACGGAGCGATCCTCATCTTGTTGAGTTTGGCCGTCTGAAAAGAATGAAGTTTGGTAAAGTGAGAGCGAAGACGTCCAGAGCTAAACGGATGGAAAGACTCACCTCTTGCTCTTGTCTCTTCCTGGCAGCTTCTTCCTTCTTTCTCTTCTTCTCTTCTTCCACCTGAGAAAATGAAAAATGTTGCCTTAAAGATCCAGCTGAAGCAAAACCAATGAGCTCAGTTTCAGCGCTTCCTGTGAGTTTAATCACAGTTCCTCACCTTCTTCTTCTCCTCTCTCTCCCTCAGCAGCGTGTCTCTGTCAACCAGCTTAACCACGGTGGGCTGACCTGCAACAATCACACATTTTCATTTATTCTACCTGAGCCACTCGTTTACGGTGCCGTGCAAATGTCCTGATCCGAGGAGTCAGACGTACTTTGGATGCTAGTTTGCAGTTCATTGGACTTTTAAAGGTTTCCCAAAGAAAAACTCCGGAGATATTTTACTAACAGACTCAAGACAGCAATCAGAATCAATCTCTGAATCTAATAAATTTGATGGTTTTAAACCAGAAACGTCTCTGGTACTCTAATGGAAACGTGTACAGCATCGAACAGTCCTGCATGTTTAATCAACTGTTAAAAGTGTAAAATTTGGTGCGTTTCATTTGTTTTTAATAATTTCTGAAACCTCTTACCTTCGTGATCTTCCAGTCGGACCCCCAGCTCCGGTAGCGTATCATCTCGAACGACGTCGCAGAGCTTCAGCAGCTCCGTCACTGGAGATAAAACTCAAACTGTTCAGATATCGGAGCGCACGTTTCTGACCTCACAGAGGCGCGCGGAGATTCCTTCTCACCTTTCTGCTCGCGGGCAATCTTCCTGACATCCTCTCTGAAGTTGGACAGGACGCCGAGGTATGGCATCACTGTGCTCTCCAGCTGCAGAAACCGGACCAAAACAGGAAGATCTGTAACATCTGCTTTAGGCAAATCTGTGGCACAACCCCCCCCCCCCCCCCCCCCCCCCCCCCACACACACACACACACACTTACATCCATACCGTGACCTTGACCTCCCACTGGGAAACCGATGGACTCCGATCCTTCGACTGCACCAAAGATCTGAACATTAAAACCAGATTTTAATTCAGACGTCATAAACAACGAGCAAAACAAGCTGTGGCTTCACAGTAATAAATACAGACGATCAAAACAAGCTAAATCCTTCAATTATTTTAGTTTTCTTTACATTTTTATTTTCAAACTTCATACTTTCATTTAAATAAACCAGTTCATCACAGATGGCCACAGAGAAAACATTTCTTTATTAAAAAGAACTATCTGAAATTAGAATAAACACAATTATAAGTTCGGGTAACGCTAAATGGCCATGTTCCATGCTTCCATTGTCAAGGTGGCCGAGCTGCGGCCTAAAGGTCGTCGGTGCCTGTCATGGTGGCAATCCACAAACCTGCTGGTGGACACCAATGGTTAGGGGTAGGGATGCACCGATACCTCTTTTTTCCAAACCGATACGATACCGATACTTGGATCTGGGTACTCGTCGATGCTGATTACCGATACGATACTTCCACCACACAAAAAAATGCAATGATTTGGAATACAGATTTTATTTTCTTCTCTGCTTTCAACGGGAAAAGACTGTGAGGTGGATAAAAAGTAAAATATATGAATGGAAATCATCACAAAACTAAAATATTAGGTGAACAGAAATGACAAGTTACAGTGAAACCATTTTCAAGCAACTGCATTGGTACCGGTTAACTTTTACCGATACAGATACTGGTATTGGTATCGGCACCGATACCGATGGTGCATCCCTAGTTAGGACTTCTTTTTCAGCTCGACATCACCCCTATCGGGACTCCAGAGGCAGCTGATGGGTACCGGCAGGCCCAGCGGAATGCGGCTCGGGTGGTCACGGAGGCAAAAACCCGGGCGTGGGAGGAGTTCGGTGAGCCGTACGGCTTCGAGGAGATTCTGGTCCACCATCCGGTACCTCAGGAGGGGAAGGCAGTGAGCTATCTGTGCCCCAGACAAGCTGGATCCCAAAGTCAGAGACTCTCTTGGTCAGCTTGCTTCTCACACCTAACCCTCTGTCAGGAATCTTGGCGTGACCTTTGACCCAGCTCTCACCCTGGATTCTCATGTCAGTTCTCTTGTTCGCTCTTCCTTCTTCCATCTCAGGAACATAACTCTCTTTTCACGTGTCTGAGCAGAACCTCCCTGAACCGTCTACAGATGGTTCAGAAAGCCTGTGCTCGGCTTCTGACCAAGTCCTCCAAACACACCCACATCACCCCGCTTCTCCTCCAGCTTCACTGGCTGCCAGTCAACTTCAGGGTTCATTTCAAGATCCTGGTTCTGGTCTTTAGGGCCTTACATGGACGAGCACCATCTTACATTGGTGATCTTCTTAGTCCCTACACCCCAGCAGGTCCCTGAGGTCCAGTGACCAAAGCCTACTGGTTGTGCAGCACCAGGCTAAAGACCAAAGGTGACAGATCATCTGCTGCTGTGGCCCCCAGACTCTGGGCCTCTCTCCCCTGAGCCTGAGATCAGTGGACTCAGTGGTCTCCTTTAAAAAGCAGCTGAAAACTCAACTGTTCAGGCTGACCTTTGGGTGACCTTCATCACCCTCTCCTTATTCTGCTCTTTTGACTTATTCCGCCTTTCCAAGGATTCACCGATTTCCTTCTTTCCTACTAATTTTCTCTCTTGCTCTTCCTTAAAAATTTGAGTCACTATTTGTATATTTTCTCATTTTAAATATATTTTTAATAATTTAAAAAATCTTATATTCCCATAATTTTTTATAATCCTATACAGTGTTGGGCAAGTTACTTCAAAACTGTAATACATTATTTATTACTTGTTACCCTCATTTTAAAGTAATTCATTACATTACAATATTACTGATTTTAAAATGTAAGGCATTACACTACTTTTGCATTACTCTAAGTTATTTTCAACAAAACAACTTCAGTATGAGTTTGGTAATCTGATGCCTGGTGAACTCATGACACATCCGGTGGAAGGTGATGTGGTGTCTGAGCTAGGATTGCTGTTAAAAACAGATCTTTAGAAGGATTGTTTATTAAATAAAAGCAACAACAATCTGTACTCTCAGCACGCTGCCATCTTAGATTAACTGAGCAGGGAGTGAGGTGGTGGGGGCTCCAAGTATATTTAGCCTTGGTCCCCAAATGCCTTGATACGGCCCTGGATGTGGGACTGACTTCTGGGGTGATCTGATTCTATCACATGTATAAATATTAAATGCTTATATATTATTGCTTTTCACTGGTAAAAATGAGTATTGGGGATAAATCTAACTACTTTTTGTCTTTTCAAGCACTTGGTTTTGTTTTCTTGATTTTATTTGAATTATTTCCTGCCCTTTATCTCTCTAACCTCCCTGCATGCTGCATGTTTTCTCCGTCTTCCAGAAAAAACTGTTTCCTAGACTTCCTACTTTCTAACTATCAGCCAAAGGGATCTTCACATGCACGGCGCTCCAGCAGCAATGAGTTAAAATCACCGGGGCCCAGATTAACTCAGATGAGGCAAAGCACGTCAGAAAAGTACAGAGTACCAGAGAACATGCGCTGATATGAACGATCGCAGGTGAATTATTTTGTTTTAGTGGAGCGATTTTGTGAATGTTACTGTGGCCGCGCGCAGGATGCAGCTGGAGTATTTGAGCCGGTACCGCAACATTCTCTCTGCCTGCAAAGCTGAGTCCATAAATGACGTCATATATGTGGATACTGGATCTTTTTTCGGGTTTCCCGCAATTTGAATTTTTAAGAAACGCATCTTGATTCTGGGTTTAAAATGCATTGTAATTACCGCGTTACTGACAATTGTACAGAGTAAATATTACCATTTTCTTTCCCTGTAATGCCTTACATTACCACATTACAGCAAAAAGCAATGCATTACAGTAATTAATTACTTCTGTACCGCATTACTCCCAACACTGATCCTATATTAATTTTTTTGTGTGAAGCGCCTCGTGATTTTTTTCATCTTTCTTACTAACACTGTTTATAGTAGGGTGACCACATATCCCGCTTTGTGCGGGACAGTCCTGCATTTTCATTACTTTTCACGTGTCCCGCTAATTGAGACTCATGTCCCGCATTATTGACAGTTTCCTGTTTCGAGTTTCAATTTTATAAAAGAAACCGTGGAGAAATCTGCCTGTTGCTGTCAATCAAACAGAGGCGGGACTTTATCGCAGATCCGGAGCGTGTGTGGAGCGCGCCCGAACCACCAAAACAAGCGTGAGCGAGCACCGAGGAGAAAATGCGGTAAACTCGTGAATTAAACGTGTTCAGAGATACTCGACAGAGTCTTTGTTGTTTCTGAGTCATTCTTTCATGTCTTGGCCCGGAGTCTGATATGAAGAGGTCAAAAGCAGGTTTTCCAGTAATTAGACAGGTCCATGATAAACACAATGAAGGCTTTACCACAGACAAGGTTCTGTGGTTTCAGATACCTGCGTACATGCTGAGCCCCTTAAAGCACAGTGAAGAAATAATGAGAATAATTGGAAGCTTTGATCACTTATTCTCAGACATTTGAGGCAAAAAGTAACTCTAAGAAACTATTATTAGATTAGATCTGAATTTTTTTTTGGAGAAGAGAATGTTCAGTGCCTTGGGCTTCCTGACAGGGTTGCGGAAGGCGCTTTATAAATAAAGCTTTGATTGATTGATTGATTGATTGATTGAACGTGATCTTCGGCTCTTACCGGAGCAGTTTGCAGCCAAGTGTGAAGCAGCTGGGATGAGAATCAGCTCCTCTAAATCTGAGAACATGGTCTTGAGTTGCAAAAGAGTAGAATGCCCTCTCCGGGTCAGGGATGAGGTCCTACCTCAAATGGAGAAGTTTAAGTATCTCAGGGTCTTCTTCACGACTGAGGGAAAAATGTAGCGTGAGATCGAGAGGCGGATTGGTGCTGCGTCTGCGGTGATGCGGGCGTTGTACCGGTCTGTCTCGGTGAAGAGAGAGCTGAGCCAGAAGGCAAAGCTCTCGATTTTCTGGTCGATCTACGTTCCTACCCTCACCTATGGTCACGAGCTTTGGGTAGTGTCCGAAAGAACGAGACTTGTGTCTCACTGCTGGACAGGGAACGCCTTAGGATTCCCTCGGAGGAGCTGACCCAAGTGGCTGGGGAGAGGGAAGTCTGGGCCTCCCTGCTTAGGCTGCTGCCCCCGAGACCCGATCCCCGGATAAGCGACCAAAAACGGATGGATGGAACACCAAAGGAAAATTTTACAAATAAACTAAACAGTATTTTGAGATAAAATGGCGGATACAACTTTTGTTCTTAAAGTTTGAAGAATGAAAGAAACTGATTCCCTGAAACGCCAAACCGAAGGTGAGTATGTGAGTGTGTGTGTTGCTGACCTTCAGCATGTTGGTGAGGTATGTGGCGATGCTCTCCAGCAGCAGGCGGTTGGGCCTCAGCTTGGCGTTCTTCCTGCTAGCAATGTACGTGTTGCTCTGTCCGACCAGAACCCTCATCTCCTCCATGGCGGCGCGAGTGTCCACGTTGTCACACAGCGCCTGGTGGATGGCAGACTTCCTGTCGTAGAAACTGTAACACACAAACACCTGACTCTAAACACCATGGAGATGGAGATGTTCACCTGTTCTAACACAAACGGAGGCAGTCGGGGATTAAGTGGTGTGCACAAACACACAAATCAGCAGCTCTGATTATAGAACAGTCATATCTCAACTAACGATCCTCATGTCTTACATTTTTCTTTTTTTTTGTTGTTGGTATAAAATCACATTTAGCAAACAGATCCATAATTAGCTGCTTCTGACACAACCTCAGAGCAATAAAGACGTGTTAGCCACCGAGTGGAAAACAAAAGGGTGAGTGTCAAAATAAATGTAAAAAATATTTAAAAAATGTTTTTTTACTATGGTTACTGAAGGTTCTGGGTGTGTTTTCACTGACTTAAATATGAAAAAATAAGACATTTTATTAACTCATTCACTGCCAGCGTTTCTCGCAGTTTTTACGGTTTTTTTAAGAGTGACAGAACGATGCGTGCTAGGATGATGTCGACGCCAAAACAACCAAAACAAAGCGGAGACTCACCTCTTACATCAGCAAGAATCTGCGCATTTCGAACGTTATCCATTGTTTCATAATCCTTTGTTGAATTGTGATCGGCAAAAGCTTTTCCGGTTCGCGCCTCACTTTTTACAGCAGCGGCCCAAAACGATCTCCTAACACATGGATTTTCTGCTTCCTGATCAGGTGATGTGTGACGTATGCGGATGAAGATCGGCTTTAGAGCTGAGATGTTTGTTCACACGGTGCGGGGCTCGTTCCGACGCCCACACAGTATAAAAAAAATGCAAATGACAACTTTTGTCATCATTGGCAGTGAATGAGTTAAACAGAGTTTCAGTTCTTTGACCACTCCCACTGTAAAACTCAACTTCCTGTAATCCTTCACAATAAGAGTTTCAAACAACTTTGTCAAAACTCACGAGGTTATTTAAATTGTTTCATTATTCTTCTTGTCTGGTGGAGTCTGAAGCCTGAACAGCTAGGAATTCTGGAATGTCATGAGCTAAAAACCTTCCTTATAAACGTGTGGTTCACATGTTTAATCAATACATTTGCAGAGGTCTCTAGTAACTCTAAGCACATGTGTCAGACACAAGGCCCGCGGGCCAGATGTGGCCCGCCACATCATTTTATGTGGCCCGCGAGAGATTCAAGTGTCTTAAAATAGGTCTATGCCGATTCAAGGCGCACATTGGCTATAAACTGCATTTCCCATAATGCATGGCGATTGTGTTTGCAGTGCAGTGACTCGCCACTAGGTTGCAGTGTATCCACTTCCATTTTTAATTAATGCAACAAGTGAAAATAACTGTCCACACACCATCCCAAAATGTCCAGGAAGAGAGAGATTGATGCAGAAGGAAGGAGTTTCACCAAAGATGGAACATGTTGATGCTTCAAGGGGAGAAACCGGTATGTCTTTACAGTCATTAGCGTCCATGCTACTAGCATCAGTGTCTGCAGCGTTACCTCCTCTGCCTCGGACAAACTGAGAACACTCCTCTTACTCAGCGCCACGTTTACCCAGCAGTTAGCCGACTTAGAAGCCCAGAAATGGATTCTAACAGCTCAGTAATGTTTGCTGCTGACATAGAAAGCGCACCGACTAACTTTCAGACAGAGATGATTTAACTCCAGTTTAGTGACACGCTCAAGTCACTATGACTCTGGCTGCTGCAGCTTTTATCCACCTTTCCGACACAACTGCGTGGTCCAGATGCTCTCCATGTCCAGCAGCACAAACCTGTGTGAGCAACTGTTTCTCACTGATGAACTCCTTCCTCAGCTCAGAGCCCAACCCCACAGGTGCAGGTCCGGCTGGAACAGGTGAGCATCACAGGAAATCAGAGTGGAGAAAACTGGGATTGAATTATTTTGGTTTTATTAACCTTTCCTGCTCCAAAGCATGAAAGTTAATAGGTGAGATATTGCATTTTCTTTTAAGAGAAATACTATTTTTTATTTATGCTGTTGGCCTGTGCAGATAAATAAACCCACTTTAAAACAGGATGGATTACAGATAAAAGAACAGAATAGAAATAAAATAGAAAATCCCTTAATTGTCCGTCAGTGGGGAAGGCTTGGTGTCACAGCAGCAATAACATTCAGTACAGGAGCAACAAAGGAGAGTAAAAAATAAAGAATAAACAAGAAAAAAATTAAATAGAAACAAAAGATTCTAAAGATAAAAAATAAGAAGAAATGCTGAATATATGCAGATTTTATGGAATAAAATATATATATTTTTAATAACGACATATGTAACGAATACCACTGATGTGTGCTTTATTTAAAGGGGCATTATGGAAGTTTGACAGCCAAAACATGTATAGAAATAATAAATGTCTTCTTCATACATTCTCCTGCAATGCCCTGGTCCTGTAGAATGAGCCCTGGCATTTTTACTGTGATTGCCTGTTTTTCTGTAAAATCACAGAAAAAGAGAGATGCTCGGGTCGAGCAGGCTGCTTCATGCGCGTTCACGCTCAGACATCGCCCGTAGCATTTGCTATCCGTAGCTTTAGCAGCAGAGAGAGAGGTAGTGCCACGTTGTCGCTGTTCCTAATGCCTAGTGATGAACCTACATTTCTGAGGACCCTTAGCTACTTTCTGTAGAACTTTCTTCTAGATATTTCCTGCAAATTAGCAACAAAATAGCCATTTTTGCTCCGAACCGTTCTTTGAACGTTGTTTCAGCTGTCATCAAGGATATAAATGTTACAGATACAAAAGATGTCACTGGTGCTTTAGCTCACCTATTGAGACGTCAGACTCCCATGCAGAAGACCTGGGTTTGATTCCGGATGTGAACAGTTTATTTAGAGTTTCTTTTTTTACATTAATGGTATTTTTTTTTTACAGTAAGATGCCCAAATTTGTATTTGAGACTCGCTGAACGGCATTGAATTCACAGATAAAAAAGATGTGGGTTCAACTTTCATTTTGGAACAATTTTTCAAGCAAGGGAAGGGAATGATCTGAGCATGCAGGAGGACTGACCCATCTTAAACCTTTGTCGGCTGTGCTGAAGAGAAAGCTACAGAACCAAATTATTTAATTAATGAGCTGTGTGTTCTCCTGTCCTCCAGGCCCCCCCACACACACACACACACGGGACTGTCTCAGCTGTTATTTTCATTAAGGAGTGTGAACGTACAGCATGCGCGCCTCGTGCACGAGCCTACTATTGAAGCTGCCGTTACGCTTTTGGTCTGAGGGGGCAATCACGAGCATAAAAATTCAAAACTCTGTAAAGTCCCTTTAAATACAGATTATACAAAACTTGCTTCGGATGTTTTTATGAATATTTCTGTAACTAAAGAAGTTTAAAGACACTTTAAGCTAAAGAAGAATGTTTAGGTGTAATGTTTACTTTCGGCGACTCACCTGCTGTTCAGCTCCAGCTCATCGGCCTCCCATCTCTCAAAACGCCCGGGAAGGTCCGTGGGAGCACGCAGGATGTCTTTCACGTTGAGGAAAAATTCCTGTCAAACAGAAAGAATCCATAAGATCCTCTGAGGAGGAAGTGAGGAGCGACGCTCGTCTCATCGACACCTACGTTCATGAACTTCTCGTACTGGACGGCTGAGTCCATGGTGTTGGAGGAATAGTCCAGGGTGTCCTTCCAGGAATGCATCAGGAAGGCCAGACGGAGCTGACGAGCTGCAGGAAGTTTTCATCATCAGTTTTCAGTTTTTTTCCCGGTCTGGTTCTGGAATATTAACACGTTCACCAATCAGCTGACTCACCCGAGTTTTTGGACAGAGCATCTTTAATCGTGATGAAGTTCTTCAGAGACTTGGACATCTTGCAGCCGGCGATGGTCAGGTGACCCGTGTGCAGGAAGTACCGGACCCAGAAATTATTCTCAAAGTAAGCCTGAAACATAAAAGCAGCTGAGATGAGACCAGAACTCCTGACCCGGTCAGACTTTCATGTGAGCGGTTAAACTGGTTTTCTAGATGTTCTGATGGATCTTATTTTGGAACGTTTCAGATTTTTATTTTATCGAGTTTCATCTCTTGATCCTGAACAGGAAAGTCTAAACCTTTAGAAGCAAAACATAAAAGAGACGAGGGTCTGAATCGGGTCTTCGGAACCGAACTTTGATAAATCGGACCTCAGACTGAGCCAGCTCGTTGTCGTGGTGAGGGAATCGCAGATCAAACCCTCCTCCGTGGATGTCCATCGACTCCCCCAGGATAGAACCAGCCATGGCGGAACACTCGATGTGCCACCCGGGTCGACCCTAGGAGAAGAACCATGATTAGGGTCAGAGACTCAGATTGAAGCAGAGCCCATTCACGTCAGACGGCTCACTTTTCCCCAAGGAGAGTCCCACGACGGCTCTCCGGGCTTCGAGGATTTCCACAGAGCAAAATCGTTCTGGGATTTCTTCTCATTCAGCCGGTCTGCAGAGATGCTCAGGTCTCCTGCAGGACCAGGGCCAACAACATAAACGTTCCAGAATTCAATTCAATTCAAAAATACTTTATTAATCCCAGAGGGAAATTGATTGCTGTAATAGCTCAGAATAATAATACCAGATAACCAGATAAAAACACTAGAAACATAAAGCTGATACTTGGAAACAAATAGGACGTGTTTGTTTCTTTAACTGAAGATAAAATCTACCGTCTGCTTTCACAATCAAACGTTTCTGATCAATGTGCTTCCGAGTACTTAAAGATTGTTTAAAGTCCGTTTTGACTGCTTGTACTTATTGTATTTGAGAATGGTCCTTTGTCTTTGTGTCCAACGGTTTCATTTTTATCTTGTATGTTTTGGTCAACAAGATGGTGGTGCTCACAGACACAGCGGCTCGGCTCTCTTCATTCCAGTGTTTTGTTTGTACGTGTGTGCTAGTACTACTACTTGTTTCATACACATTTTGTCGAGCCAACGACATTTACAGCCGACAGGAATTCTTCAACATCAGAGAGTATGCAGCGAAAGAAGTGTTTCAGCATTTTCTTCCCTCCCATGACATCCCGGCAGACATAGCGAGGAGTCCCGGCTCTCCGTGGGTCACCATTACCGCGGGCAGGCGAAGAGGGCGGCGTAGGGAGAGAAAACAAAAGCGAGGCTGCAGGGCCGGCATGCTAGTGAGGTTACATCGACAGCCGGTTAAACCACCGCTCCCCAGTAATTGTCTCACCAATGCCAGATCTCTCGTCAACAAGATCGATGAACTGCGGCTGCAAGTGGTTTCTAATAACATCGTAAAGAACAGTTGTGTTACGTTGATCACTGAATCCTGGCTTCACTCATTGATCCTGGACTAGGGTTGTCATGGTAACTGGTGTAGCGGTAAACCCCGGTGAAAAAGTTGACAATAATAATAAGAGTCTTGTTTTAAAAAAATATATATATCTTGGTGGGTTACTGTGGCTGCGGTGTAGGCGCGGTGACCCTTACCAGCCACCGTATCATCTGCTGAAGTTGCCGGCGGCACATGCGCACTTTGATGTTTACGACCAAAACTTTCTTGAAGCTAAAGCTGAAATAATGGCCAAAGGAGGAGACGGCAGCACTCAGGAGGACATTTATTATCCCTCAAAGAAGACAAAGTCGGAAGTACGGGCATCTTTTGGATATTTGAAGAATGCCGAGGGACAGTTGATAGAAGACGGCTATCCTGTTTGCAGCATGTACAGAAAAAGTGTCTGTGAAAGGCAGCAACGCTTCAAATCTCATGACACATCTGCGTGACTATCACCCACAATTCTACAGTCAACGCAAGGCAAGCTAACGTTAGCGTTTTAGCTAAAATGCGTGATCCGAGGATTTGGGTTGAGGGAGAATGCAACGAGTCGCTATATAAAGCAGCCGCAGCGCTGCTACCTGCATATAAACCGTGTCGCGGACACCCCCATGTTGAAATGACGCTATGCATTATGGGACTCCCAGGGGCAGATAAGAGTTGGTCTCTCTCCGAGAATAATTATGAATTTAACAATGATTACTGCCTGATGACATTTTCCCAAATCTGCAAAGCTCACCGGAACACAAACCGAGGACGATATTTTCCTGATGTAGGGTTTATTACTCAAGTAAGGGTAAAAAAGTATCTGATTAGAAGGCTACTTGAGTACTGAGTATCATCTGATCTAATATTTTTAAAAAGAGGACATCAAACAGACAAAAAATAAGAAGTTATGGGCAAATATTGGTATTTTAGAGACTAAAGGGGAAAAATGTAAACAAATAAACAACATAATTACAAAATAACACAATTTAGGCAACATTTAGACACAAACTGAGGACAATATTTTCCTGATATACAGGGTTTATTTAATTGTCTGAAAAAGTAACACGTTTAAAAAAAATACCGCGATAATACCGAAAACCGTGATAATTTTGGTCACAATAACCGTGAGGTTAAATTTTCACACCATGACAACCCTATCCTGGACTCTGCTATCCAGCTAGCAGGCTACACTGCACAACGCCATGATAGAACCAGCAACTCCGGTAAGATTAAATAAACTCCCCCAATTATTATTGCATTTGTAAATTTAATCTGCCGCTCTGAAAATGCGCTCTTCAGTTGGAAAAAAAACAGCAATGACTGCTGTATTTTTTTAAACTGCAGAGCGAATTTATTCACAGAAAAACAGAATGCTGAAGTTTTCATGAGAATAAATGAATGGTTTCTGACATCAAAGTGGACATAAAATGGCATATTAGAATAGGGGCACATGTTTCAATCAGCAGTTTGAGAATTTGTTTATATAGGCGCGTTTATAAACCACACAGACCTTAACTGAGCTAACGGGTGCTGCTGCGTTCAAGTGTTTCAGTTTTTTTTTAATGAATTCGATTAAAAATGAAGGCGCCCAGCCCAGCCCGGCCCGTGCCCGAGGTAATTACACAGTCGTTGGCCCGAAGCCCGACCCGAGGGCTTCAGTGCAGGGCTCTACCGTGTACATAGCACCGGATGCTAATGCTAACTCGGCCTTGAAACTCTTGCACCATAGCATTAGCAGTCACCTGTCCAAGCACCCCGATGCCGTGCATGTTGTTGCTGGGGACTTCAACCATGTGGATTTAAAACCTGTGCTCCCTAAACTCCATCAGCATGTCATGTGTGCCACCAGAGGAGTAAACACATTGGACAAAGTTTACACTAACAGGGCTACACAACTATCACACTTGTGCTGCACATCACTGCTCTTAATCCCAGCCTACATACCACTAAGGAAATCTGCCCCAAACACCATAAGGACAGTCAAATATTGGTCAGATGGAGCCTCTCAACAGCTGCGGGACTGTTTCAGTAGGACCAACTGGGACATTTTTGAACACCCTGACCTGGAAGTGTTTAGTGACGGTGTGTGTAATGTGTTACATTAAGAACTGCACAGTCATCGTCACAAAATATAAACGCATTCGCGTTTACGCCAGTCAGAAGCCCGGGATGACAAAGGAAGTCCAGAGGCTGCTGAGGGAGAGGAATACTGCCTTTAGATCAGGTGATAAGGCCCGCTACAGCACGGCCCGCGCCAATCTACAGAAGGACATCCGAGAGACCAAGTCGGATTATAGGAGGAAGATCGAGAAACATCTGGACAGTTATAACAGTAAACAGGTGTGGATGGATGTCCAGCATATGACCAACTACAGGACTGGTATGGAAGCTGTGGGGGGTGATCTAACGCTGGCAGAGGAACTCAACCACCAACTTGCCCGGTTCAAGGTTGCAAACACAGAGACAGCGTTTAGGAGTTCTGCCATGTTGTGGAGTTGCTAATGCTAACAGTTAGCTTCTACTAGCCAAGACGTGCTCTACTGTCTCCTGGAAGCCAAATGAACAGTTTTCATCTCTGTCGTGAGCCAATATGGGTGAGTCTTTGGATGCCAATTTTTCAATGTGAAGTGAATCGACTAGCTTTTCTAATTCAAAAGTTATCCTGTCTACTTTTGTTCTTTCTACGTTCAACTAATGCAGGCCTGCATGTTAAACTCAATCATATTTCAAAAATTAAAAGTAAAAAATGGTTTCTCAGTGAACTTGGTCTTTAAGCTATTGCTTTAAACTGGTTTCAGCTTCAAACTGGACAGCACTCTGTTCCCTTCTGCTGATCAGAAACTGCACTTAACAGACTTGTGGATCAGGTACAGACACTAGTGGGAGGCTTTATGGCAATAGCTGTTTCCTGTGCCAGTAGCTAATATAAAAGGTAGCAGTTAGCTATTTCAGTTTGCCTACTGTCAATGAAAAGCACAAGAAGAAGATAAATTTTTACATTTATGTAGCGTGTTTAACTACATGCTAGAATCAACACCGTTTGCTATCAGTTTTGTTAGATTCTGGGAAAAGATCCAACGAGTTAACAATGAAGCTTCTATTATATATAAATATCTAGGATATATATTCGATAGAAGTTCATATGCCAACGAGCTTGGTCTATATTTAATCCAAAGATTAATGTTTGATTTAAGATAATAACATTTAATAGCAAAAGTTTATTTATTTAATCAGAAGTTTAAGGAATCTTTGCTTTTTCAATAACCAAAAATATATACACCATTCTGTGTTACATTTAAAAGAAGAGTCAAGTTTTTAAAGTTAAGAATTTATTACTAACACTTTTAAAAATGACAATTTATAAATGACAATTTTTGAACAGACAATTTGATATTAAAACTTGTTTTAAAGGCAAACCTGTGACTGAATGAAAGCTAAAATGAAAATGTGAGTTTTTTGATGCGTGAATGAATATCAGAAGATTTCTTTCAGTGAGGGTTTGCCTTTAAAACAAGTTTTAATATAAAATTGTCTGTTCAAAAATTGTCATTTCTAAATTGTCATTTTTAAAAGTGTTAGTAATAAATTCTTAACTTTAAAAACTTGACTCTTCTTTGAGCCTGGTAGCAAAAGCAACAAACTACTGTCTTTGGAGTCAAAGCAGAAAGATAAAACCAGAGCGAACATCAATGCGGTCTACACTCCTTTGAGGGAGCTGAAGGAGGCTATGAAATCATGAACTGATGGTGACCTGGCTTTGTTGTTACTAGACTTGGAAGTGATCATTTTTTCCAGTAGTGTGATCTTTATAATTCATGGCTTATTTTAGTATTGGTTGACTCATGTTAGCGTTAGCTCGTTGTTAAGGCTAGCTACAGCAGGCTGTGGCAGGGTTGTTTATGACAGTTGTAATACTGCTTAAAACCAGTAGGAGGGAGAAGCAGAAAACATATTCAGTGTTGCTTTATAAATAAGAGAACTGTTTAAATGCTCCCTCTGATTTTCCGAGACATAAACACGAACCTTCTCCCTCCTGCAGAGCTTTCTGATCCCCGACTGCCTCCGGGACCAGTTTCGCGTACGAGTGCTGAGGACTGGAATCAAACTTCTGGGTGTCAAAGTAAACCGAACCGTTGGACTCATACCTGTAAGGTAAACACGTCAAACAGAAACCCCACCACGAATAATCCAGGAGCAACAGGAAGAAGCCTCCTCACCCGTAGCCATTTGAGACGATCTTGTCCACAAACTCCACTATTTCAGGGATGTACTCACTGACTCGAGTCAGAACATCAGGAGGAAGAACCTGGAGGACACAGACTCAGATGATGCAGAACAAACTAACAAGTGTTCATCAATTCATCTGTGGTTCCTCCTCACGTTCAGGGCCTCCATGTCCTTATGGAACTCTCCCTCCCAAAACTTTGGAAGGACGGAGAAGATGGAATTCTCTGCGACTTGACTTCCAAACTGTTTGTCCAGCCAGTCGGACAGCAAATCCTTGGAATTCTCCAACAACACCTGGAAAAACGAAGAAAACATTGGGTAGTTTACAGATCTGTGAGTGAACTTCTGACTCAGACTAATTTGTTTCCTCGATCGTCCTGAGGGTCGCTGGTGTTTCTGCAGTTCTGGTTTCATTCCTGAAGGTGTGATTCATGTGAAACCCTCCCCTTTGTGCAGCTCTGAATCTAATCCCGTCAGTGGACTCTGCCTTCCACAAGAAGCTAAAGCAATGAAAGAGGCCATCTTTGGGAAGCAGCGCACACAGAGAGGGGAGCAGCGAAGGAGAAGAATAGGTGATGCTCTCTGAAGAGCAGGCTCTTCAAGTGTTTCTAGAAGATAGAGCAGGGGTATTCAATTCCGGTCCTGGATCACGTTTTAGTTGTTTCTCAGCTCCAACACATTTGAATCCCCTGTGCAGCAGCTCATCAGGCTCTGCTGATGCCTGTTAATCACCTGGTGACTGCAATCAGGTGTGTTGAAACAGAGGTAAAACTAAAATGGGCTGGATACCGGACCTCCAGGCCCGGAATTGAACACCCCTGAGGTTCAGGTGCCTGTGACTGAACCAGGTAGCTCGGTCTCACCTGAGCCAGAGGTTGCAGCACATCATCTGCTGCTTTGCTCTTCACAGCCGCCTGCAGAGGCTGCAGCGCTGTGGTTACGGCGGCGTCCAGACGCTCCAGCATCTGCTTCTTATCAGGGTCTGTGGTATACGCCAGCTGCTCCTGAAATGGCTGGAAAACAAGAAATCCTCATCAGAAAATCATTTTGGCTTCCCAGGTAAACAGATTCAGTTTGGAATCTTCTGATGTGTGAATGACTCTGAGTTTCCGCTGGTGGGAGCGGGACGCTGGGTACCAACTCCATCAGCTGAAGGAGAAAATGACCGTTGACCCTTCAGAGGCAGCAGAGCCTCTTATCCTACATTCATTCAGTCTAACTGTAATTTGTGAACACCCATTGTAATTCCAGGTAGAACTTGGTCCTGCAGCAGGAAGGACGCTGATGCAGATAAAACAACTGAAATTGTACCTGCTAACCGGAGCACAAACCCTCTTGGACGTTTATTAAAAAGAAGACTAAACACAACCAGTTTTGGGCATCTTATGTTAAAAAAAGTATAGTTATAGTTATAAATTACTTTTTCCAAAAGTAATTGAGTTTGTAACTCAGTTACCACAAAGTAAAAGTAATTAGTTACCTATAAAAAGTAAATGTGATACTACTTTAACCCCCCCCCCCCCCCCCCCCATCCTAATGGGTGTGACCCCGTGAGGAAAGATGACCATTGAGCAGGAATTATGGTTTATCCCTTGAGGTCCATGTGGCAGGGGTGAGGAGTGAGCACCACCTCACTCCTGCCACATGGACCTCAAGGGATAGACCATCAATCCTGCTCAATGGTCAACTTTCCTCGCAGGGTCACCCATGAAGACAGTGGGAGGGTTAATGTTCTGTAACGCATAATCTGTAACAGGTGTAACACCTGTTACAGCTGTAACATCTATAAAATCTGTAACACATGTAACATCTGTAACACCTGTAACAGCTGTAACATCTATAACAACATCTGTAACATACGTAACACATGTAACATCTATAACATCTGTAACAGCGGTAACATCTACAACATCTGTAAAATCTGTAACACCTGTAACATCTGTAACACCTATAACATCTGTAACATCTATAACATCTACAACATCTGTAAAATCTGTAACACCTGTAACATCTATAGCATCTGTAACATCTATAACAACATCTGTAACAACTGTAACACATGTAACATTGTAACACCTGTAACATCTATAACATCTGTAACAGCGGTAACATCTACATCATCTGTAAAATCTGTAACATCTATAACAACATCTGTAACATATGTAACACATGTAACATCTATAACATCTGTAACAGCGGTAACATCTACAACATCTGTAAAATCTGTAACACCTGTAACATCTGTAACACCTATAACATCTGTAACATCTATAACATCTACAGCATCTGTAAAATCTGTAACACCTGTAACATCTATAGCATCTGTAACATCTATAACAACATCTGTAACAACTGTAACACATGTAACATTGTAACACCTGTAACATCTATAACATCTGTAACAGCGGTAACATCTACATCATCTGTAAAATCTGTAACATCTATAACAACATCTGTAACATATGTAACACATGTAACATCTATAACATCTGTAACAGCAGTAACATCTACAATATCTGTAAAATCTGTAACATCTGTAACAGCTGTAACATCTATAACAACATGTAACATCTGTAACACCTGTATCATCTATAACATCTGTAACAGCTGTAACATCTACAACATCTGTAAAATCTGTAACACCTGTAACACCTATAACATCTGTAACATCCATAACAGCTGTAACATCTTTAACATCTGTAACATCTATCTTCATTATCTATAACGTAAAAGAGTTTTTTTAACTGAATAATGCTCACCATCTAGAAAGAACATTTCAGATATCTAAAAAGTGCATTCCTATGGAATGTTCTTATGGATATCTAGAATGATCATTTCTACTAGAAGAACAGATATCTGGAATACATATCTAGTCTGCCTAATAAATGTTAAAAAGGCCATGCTGGGTTTTTAGGGATTCTGAGATACCTCAAACTTAATTCTGACTAGTGCCGTTGTTATTATGGATATCTAAAAAAAACATTTCTATACCAACAACATAGCCGTTGATGTCTTCATTTCTAATAAGAAAAAATAGCCATTAGTAACGTCGTTATACTTGAACACTGTTACTCCCAACACTGAATACAACAAACACGGCAGCAGAAAGGGACCCATATCCTGATTAGGATCTTGATCTTTATCTAAAAACAATCTGATGAGGACGCTGCTAGATGTTTGGGTCTCCTACTTCTGATGACTCACCTTTTGGGCACTCAGAACATCCTGGAGAATCTGACCAGCTGGCGGGTTCTTCTCCTTGTACTGGTGCAGAAGGTGGTTCTGTCGAGCTCTTTTGATGATCTGAAGCAGACTAAAGGCGTTAAAACACCAAACAGAAGTAGGCAGCTGCTGCACATCTGGCTGAATGGAACTCACCTTATCATCGATATCTGTGATGTTCATGCAGTAAAGGACGTCGTATTTGAAGTAGTCCCTTAGGATCCTCCGCAGGATGTCAAAGGAAATGTAGGACCTGGACATAGCAGCAGATTTGAGATCAGGGCCCTCATTTATCAAACGTTTGCAGAAACTGTCCCATATTCCCTTCTACAGCCAAAATTTAGAATGTGTGTACGAACAGTCCAAAGACATGCGGTGGCCTCTCGTAAGCACGTTCCTCTGCAATCGTCTGATGATAAATCCCACCTGTGCATACTCGGGTGCTTGTGTCCAATCAGTCGTTTACATACAGAAACGCTCTCAATTAACCATATTTGGTCACGCTACGTCCTCAGCTTGTGAGGGGATTCCCTGTTCTTTAAGTTGCAGACGTTATAAACACGTTCAGGACAGAGAAGTTCCCGTCAGAAATAAATGAAAAACGGATTTGATAAATCGTAGAGTAATGGGTTTTTCTTTACATTTAAGGAGTCGGTCTGTGTGGCGTTAGTTTCATTTGGAAATGTTGTCTGAGAGTGCAGCATCTTCTGAGCTGTCATTTGGGCCATTCCAATCTGTACCGGGTCGGCCCGGGCCGGGTAGCGTAGGTTGTTTACATATCTGGGTGGCCTGGTATTTTTCCGGGCCAACCAAGGCTCATTCTCAGCCCTCTTCTTGAGGGGGTCTGCTTCAGGCCGACCAGGGCCAACACACCCACTGCTGACAGCAAATTCACACCTTCCATTAGAGCAAGCCTCTGATTGGTGGGTAGAATCAGCCCACATGGGCTTAAGACAAGGATGTGTGGAATCAACCGGGCCAGGCTGGGGCCGACTGGGGCTACCCGGCCCGGGTCGACCCGGTACAGACGGGAATGGCCCAATTCAGTCTGGTTACCTAGGCAACACAGTGTGTATGATTGGGGAGCAGAGGAGGTTCTGGGTGGTTATTGTAGTTCAAGGGTCCCAAATCCCAGCATAACAGAAGGATTTCCTTTGAGATCAGAGCGCTCACATAGAACACGTTCCCTCTCGAGAGAACGTTCTGTTAAATCCACCAATAACACAGATCAGCCATGATATAATGTCAGATTCCCGTCTGTCACGTGTGTCTTTTATTGGTTTTAGCACCAAGTATGTCAAAAAGCTGTTTTTCCACTAACATAATTACATACTGGGAAAATATAATTTGCTGCGATGGACTGGCTCTCTGTCCAGGGTGTACCCTGTCTGATTGCCCATTGACCGCTGGAGATCCCCCCCCCCCGCGACCCTGCATGGACAAAGCGGGTTCAGACGATGGATGGATGGATGGATGGAAAATATAATTTGTGGATGAGGAGCATGCGGACGACTGAGACCTTCAGTGCTGCAGTTCCCCTGTTCTACCACTAGGTGCTGTTCCTACGCATGGTCAGAGCTGTTCTTTTATTTAGGAACATTTTCATGCACAAGTACAAACTGGTAAATACCACACAATGCGTTAAATCTTTCCTACACACGAAATGCACACAGATCTGTTCATAAGTGCATTTGATAAATGAGGGCCCTGGTGTGCCGATCTGGAGGCTGACAGGTTAGAAGGTTTACCTGGCGTGTCCCATGTGGGAGGCGTCGTAAACGGTCGGGCCGCAGCAGTACCACGTCACTGTGTTCCCCGTCTGAGGAACAAACAGCTCCTGGAACCAGAAACAGTACCGTTTAACGCTTTTGTTATCAACCTGCGATGGGGAGTGAGCGGGGCTTCCAGCTCTTTTCAACAGGATACAGAGTCACATTCTCCGGATCAAAACCAGCACCCCTGATCCAGTCCTAATGCCTTCCTAGTCTCCATCGCAGTGGCCAGTAAATCACCACAGCATTATTTAAACTAACATCAGCTCCTCTCCTACTGCAGCAGAGACCTGGACGTACCTTTGCTCTGGTCAGGCTGTTGTAGAGTCTCAGCTGAGGAACTTCGGATCCTGCTGGTGGAGCCCAAGCAGGCTGAACCCGCTTCCCCTTCACTGGGAACAACAAAAAACGTAGACTTTAATTCATAAACCAGCTGTTTCATGCTTTCCAACACCTGAAATCACAGCATTTAATCTCACAAAAAAAAATCACGAGTCTAAATGAAACCGTTTTACACCGATATAATATCAAAACTAAGAGTTGGGTTGATTCTTCAAAGGTCAGAGTTCAAGGAATGGTTCAGATCGTTTGAAGTTGGTTTCTTTAGAGATTATCAATATAACATAACACATGCATAACCCTCTGCAGAAACCAGAACAAAAATGGCCGCCATGCTGTGGACTGAACCACTAAGCGAGATGGAGAGCAGCCCAAACACTAAACACGGATGCTTCGACTGGAACTAAAGACAACACCAATTAGAAGAAGAATGTAAATATAAAATAACGTAATTGTTATTGCTCCTTGAGCAACCTCAGTTTAGAGAAACAAAGATCAGTTCTGATCAAACTAGCAAACTAAATACTAGTCACAATGAAAAGGTTAGGAAAATTAAAGGTTTCATATCAGTTTATAGAAATTTTTACTTTATAAGCTTTTTGTGCCATTTGTGTGCTACGTTAGCTAACTCAGAAGCTAACTGCTGCTGCAAAGACCCACAGAAGAAGAAGAAAATATCATTTCTATAGCACCTCTCAAGATAAAAAATCACGAGGCGCTTAAAAGAAAAGACATTATCACGTTTATTTTGGTGTACAAGTTTATAAAATTAAGTTTACACCAACTGTTACGATTGTTTACTACAGAAGGGGATTAGGGCCACTGAAAAGAAAAAAAAAGAAAAGAAAGAATTGACCTTTTTTTCTGAGGATTATTAAAGGTAGAATTCCCTCTTTTTTTCCATTTGAGTGGCTCTAATCCCCTTCCAGTTTTCTGATCACACTTGTTTTAATACAAGAGAAACACTAAACACTCCACTCAGACAAGCAATCAGCTCATTAGTCAGGTTAGACCTCATCTCTATTTCTCCAAACTGAGGTTGTTCAGGAAGCTGGTGACCTGAATTGGCCAGTATGATACTCAATAATCAGATTGTTTTACTATAAGTGCACTGTTGCAAATCAGCATTATAAAAAAAAACATTTTCCTGTTCCACGAACTCACCATCACTAAACATGAATTTACGCCAAAATAAACAGATCTTTAATGTTCAGCTGTTTATTTTCTGAATCTGAGTAATTATGTTAATTGGACATTTAAATTTTGTGTGTGATCGCATTTCTGCCGTGATCTTTTGTTGTTTTTCAGCTGGTTTAACACGTTTCTATATTAGTTTCCTTTTTTTATTCAGCGTTCTTTTAATATTTTTAAGATTTTTATTTAGCTTTCTTTTAATGATACACAACATTATATTTGTTCTTATCGTGAGTTTTAGGATTGTGTTCAGCACCTTGGTCTGCTGATAAGATCGTGGAAGTTGCTTTATGAAAAAATTAAATTAAAAAATAAAACATTTTTGTTGATTAGATCATTTAGATCATCCGCAGATCAGGGGCCTCCTTTATCAAGCTTGCTTATGCACATAACGGGGTCGGAAAACTGCGTAAGAAACTTTCCATGCAAACTTTGGGATTTGTGAAAGAAAACTTAGCGGAAAAATGTGCGCAACTTTAAGTTGACGAAGGACCTGGCTTACACACATGTTGGACATGGAGAGCACCTGCAGTGCTGCTGCTGAGAAGATAAAAATGATGAAATCCTGCAGCATTACCACTTGTACCGCTTCGTTTTCACACAGAACAAGACCCCCCACACGCACACACACACACAGCCTGAAGCGCAGAATACGGAATGCAGAATATCAGCAGGGGGACAGACTGACACAGAATATCATGCGTCTGTGACAGTGTGTGTCCTGTCAATGTGACCCGATTGATTATCCGCCCTGGCTACTTGTAGAGGGGAGACCTCTGTTTGGCTGACTGGTTAGCGCATGTGACTATCACCCGGGAGTCTGGGGATCGAATCCTGATCGGATCATTTTTTTTATATCTGAAACAGATCTCTCTGAAGAACTCACAACATTGACGGCTTCAGCAACGCTGTGCCACTCCGTTGATTTTCATTATTTGTTTTGCAAAAGCACTTCCTTTCATTTCTCCACCTCACCCACAGGTACCTCAACTTCTGCTTGTGAAATTGTGCTTCCTTGATCTGCCTTGATCTACGGTCGCCATGTCATTGGCGGAGCGCTGCAACAGCCACCTTATGTATATGCATGAGATCCACAAGGCACTTTGCATTGACCATTTATGGCAGTAAGTGGGTGTGGTGAGGGCGGGATGTGACTAAAATGCAGCTGAGAAACATTCTCGTTGGTCTCCGATTTATGAAGTGGAGATTGCGTGCAGCTGTGCGTACTCCATGTTTGATAGATCACAAACCTACTTGGCGTGAGTAAATTTTTTTGCAGAGCTTAAGTACGGTTTTAGTAAGGATTCTACACAATGTTTGAGAAATGAGACCCCAGAGCTGTACAAGAGCTCAGGATCAGCCCTCAGTACCAGGATTAGGACCATTTTTAATCCAGACCTCTCCAGAGAAACACACTTTAAAAGATCTGAGATCATAAAGTGTATCAGACAAACCAAGTGGTTTCTCCTCTGAAGATGTTCACAAACACAAACTGAAACAGAGAAAAAGCAGCAAAAGTCCAAAGAAAAACTTTGTCTCTGAGTCACTTTAAAAAAAGACAGGAAAGTCCGACTGCTGGGAAGGAACACAGAACTGGGCTGCTTTACCAGTTAGCAATATTTATACTGGTTTGTAAAAATCACCATCCAATCACTGATTTCTTACATTTTGTCATTTACTTCTGCAGGTTTAATCAGTCTGCTCTGGGCTGCAGAGAAGAGACACAAAAACATCCAGAAATGTTTGCTGCAGCTTTTCTGAGATCTGAAGCTATGCGTTGCAGCTAAAACCAACACAGGAGTGCAGTTTGTTTAGTGTTCTGTTATGTTGTTTAAGCAGTGATGAACGGATCCTTCCAGGAGTTCAGCCACAGGCGCCTCACACACAAACTGCTGCAAGAATAAATAGCAAAAATGCCTGCTGATGAGCTTCAGAAGGCCTTCAGTCTTCTGTTCATGCCGGAAACCGTCTACTCACTGCTGCTCTCTGTGGTGTCGTCCTGCTGCAGGGCAGCTATGTGTCTGTACCAGCGCAGAGCGTGAAGGTGCTGCGGATCGGGGGGCCGGGGGAGGAGCTTAAAGACTTTCAGGTCGGCCTGGGAGGGACCAAACCCAGCCAGGTAGCTGCGTGAGGAGAGGTAGTTGTTCAGGGCTGCTGTCAGTGCAGCCTCCTCATTTATCTGCAGCAAGAAGCCAAACTCAAAGGCTGCAGAAACAAGAGGGCAAACGTTCGCAAATCGTTACCGACCAAGCAGCAACATGCTGTTGATAACTAACACAACCAAACAAAAAACCTGGAATCGATAAGTTTATATAGAGCAAAGATCCTGGTTCAAGCTTTAGAAACGCTGGAGAGCTAGAGAAGAAAATTTCTCCAACCTTGCTGAAGGTTTTTTATATACTTCTGTTTGGAATCCGACTGCTTTTTCATTCAGTTTGGTTCCTTTGAGGTACTCAGAAGGTAGTTAATGGACTGATCGGACTGACAGCAGCAAGAAGAAGACTTCTGGGTGAAACCGGCAGAATAAACACCGACTGTCCTGACGAATCTAACCAATACAAGCTTCAAACCAGCCTCTAATTTAACCTGGAAGGAGAAACTAAACAAAATAAATCACTAGAACAGGTAAAATGATGTGACACTAAATGACCAGCAAAAAAGCTCTGATAAAATAAAGATCAAACAACTATGCACAAATAACTATGCACAAACAACTATGCACAATAAGGAAAATGATGCTGCAAACACAACCATCCAGGACCACTACTCAGAATGAAAATGAAACAAACTGATGGGATTTTCTGCCACACCTGAGATGAGTCAAACAGAAACTAACAACTAAAGAAGAAAATGAAAGAAAAACATGGAAAACAAAACCTAAATGGAAAATAAAAGATAATCTAACACAAAGAGACAAAAAGAATGAAATTGTTATTCTGATTTATCAGGATGCAATAAGGATGCAGGTTAAAAGACATTCTTTTATAATTGAAAATAAAATAAAACAAACTATTTTGTCATCTGTATGGCTGTATGTATATAAATAAATATATATATATATATATATATATATATATATATATATATATATATATATATATATATATATATATATAATTATATTTTTCGTTTTTTTACTCTTCTTCCACCGTAATATAATATATACATGTAATACCGTAATATAAACATGGTCATCAATAAATAAGCGCATCACATTTTTGTTTCATTTTTTTGTTAAACTAAATATGCCGATATTAAAATTGTCCTCTCACGTTAAAAGGTCGTATAACTCACGAGTCATCTGTGCTTTGAAGATTAAACCCCATAAGCTTGAATCTAGAATCGTCTAATAGTTGAAGGGACTTTGGTTTGTCATCAGAACTGCCTTTAGCTGCTCGCTAACAGATGTAGCTGGCGCTAATTTCTTGTGACAGTTCAACATATAACGGAACCGCCATTGCTTCTTGTTAGGTTGTTAACTAAATATATAATAAAATAAAAACCACACAATAAAAACAAAATGTTTACCTGTCTCTCCTGAGCTCGACATGACCACTGTGTTAAATGAGAGGATGCTGATGCAACAATAACGTGCCCGCCCGGACCGGAACTAGCACGCGTACCTTTGCTTTTGATTTTAAAGGGCAGCGTTCGTCTGTTGTGTATGTGTGCTTTACGGTCACCACAAAAAATGTAGGTGGAAAAGCTGAAATTATTCTTCAAATATTTTTGAAAGTTTGATAAATCAAAATTAAGTTTTTTGATGAAAATATTAGAACTTTATTTAACTAATATAAACTCGAGAACGGATGTAGTTGAGTGTTAAATCCAGCAGGGGGCAGTAAACCTTTTCAGAACGGAAAGAGTCGTGAATTCCTAAAAAAGAAGAAGTAGAGGAAGCGGAAGTTTGTTTACTTTTCAAAAACAAGTCGAGCTGAGCTCATTAACTGGTTGTGGATAATTTATGAACGTTGGTAACTAAATGAGGACTTAATGCTTCAGCTAGAGCTGACATGTCTCATTTTAAGGAGTACATAGACGCTGCGAGTCGTCTATATGAGCGCTACACGGACTATGTGAGGAGGAATCCAGCTGCCACTGCACATCTGGAGAGCACCGTGAGGACAGTCTCCTACCTGATCGCAGGTAAGTCTGCTCATAAAAAAGATTAAGACGTGTCCAGTTTCGATCGGAAAGCTCCAGTCTAGTCCTCGTTTGTTTGTATTTTCCTTCCAAGCAGACATAACTGGACTTCTCCTTAGGTTTGATGTTCTAATGAATCTGCGCGTCGCCATTGCTTCTTGTTAGGTTGTTAAGTAAATAATACAATAAAAACCACACAATAAAAACAAAATGTTTACCTGTCTCTCCTGAATATAAAAAACAAATAAATTAGTGGCTCAGCGTATTGTTGATGTAACCTTGAACTGTGACCCTACCCAGAGCTGAGTTTCATTTTCCTTTCAGAAACAGCAGGTTTAGTCCTGCACGCAGCTGCTTCAATGTTTACACCTTTCTGTATTCCAGGGCGGTTTGCAGATTCTCATGAGATTTCTGAACTTGGTGAGTAAAACGATTCAGTCATTCTTCCTGCTTTTTATCATTTGTCTCATCAGCAAACTGTTGCTTCAGGTGGTAAATCCCTTTTTTTAAAGGCCCAAACTTTAAAAATGTCTGAAAATTCCAAATTGTGAAAAACATTTGTTGTGATTTTTTTTCTTTTCATCTGAACAAAAAAAAGCAAAGTCATTGTTTATTCTGGATTGAAGTATCAGTGTAGCTGTGAGCCATAAAAGGCTCTGGTACCAGACATAAAGCATCAGACTACCTGGTTCTGACTGGTTCTGATGAATAAATGTGAGTCTGTTACCAGGATCTGGGTCACGCTTCTGCTGTCATATTTGCTGGATTTGGTCACGTTTAATGAACGGAGCTCACAAGTCTGCTTTTAAGCTTTTGAATAAAAGTCTGGGAGGGTTTGTGTTCCCAGTTACCAGGTAAAATATCACCCGGCTAAAGGACTTTTAAATCTAGTCTCATCAAGGAAATAAAAGTAATCAGCTAAGCTTCAGAAGCTGCAGCAAAAACCAAGAAAATCACAAAGAACAAACTATTCTGATGTCCCAGGTGAGGGGGTGACCATTACATTTCACAGCTTTGTCCTGGGATGGTTGTGATCGTGTCTCTAATTTTTGTCCTGGTTTTGTCATTTTCAGTGTATTCTGCCTCCAACCTGCTGGTGCTGTTTAATGACAGCATTCTGCGCCGAGGACTGAGATGTTCCCTCACCAAGGTTAGCCTAGAAACACGTCCAGTTGTGGAATAAATCCTGATCTTACCAGAGTTTAGGACGATTTAAAGCCCCCTCCAACCATGTGTGTCTCTAGTCCCTGTCTCAGCAGAGACTACTAAACTGGCTGTCGGTGCTCGAGTACGTGCAGGTTTTCCTGGAAATGGGAGCCTTCAAGCTGTGGGGGGAAGTCGGCCGTTGGCTGGTGATTGGACTCATTCAGATTTTTAAGTATGCCCCCCCTTTTCTGTCACAGTAAAGAACATTTTTGACTTCATTTCAGGCTCATGAGGACGGTTTGTTCTGATCAGGAGAAACATGAATGTTTGTCCTCTCTGGAAACATCTTGAGTTTTAGCCTTTTTGCTGAATCAGCTAATGGGTTTCTCCATTTAGTATGTCGGGATGCTTTAAGCCCCAACCCTGCTGTAAAAGTCTTTTAAGGACTGATAAAACATTCCAGTAGCTGCTAAATCTCTCCGTTTCCTTTTTTCTCAGGACAGTTTTCCGCCTCGTTCTTCTTCTGGTGTATAAATCTGGCCTCGGGACTTCACCTCCCATAATCCCTCTGGACAGGAGTGCAGAATGTGTTGGTGAAGGTTATATCAGCTTTTTTTTTAATAATAAAGGACCTGTCTGTATCCGTTGAGTCTTAACAATGACGGATGTATGAATAAGTGTTTTCTGCACAGCTGAAAGTAACAGTGAGCAGCAGGAGGACTCTTGCTTCGTGGGTCAAAGGTCAGGGCGAGTCATCAGGCCACTTGGCAGCGGTGAGAAATCAGATTTTCAGTTTAATCATCCTAGAAGGTTTAAGCTGGTCGGCTATTATCCAGAACAAAAGGATTTTTAAGTCACAAAAGGAAGTTCTACTTATTTCGTGTTTATTTTTTATTTTATTTTATTAAAATAAACAAAAACAAATTTTTGCTGTTAAAGTGTCCTGTACTGTTTAAACCTCCCGATCTGGTCCGGAAGTCCCGATCCTCCTCAGATCTTCATATTTTCTTCATGAATGTAAAATCTAAAGAAACTGAGCTTTCCCACAGATCTGAAGTTTGGCAGAAAGTGGGAAGAACCGTCAGATTAACCTCCTTCTGTCTCCATTCACTGGGTCAGCACCGTCTCTCCAGAACCGTCTGTGGGGAGCTCCGGTCCAGAGGAACAGGAGGAGCAGTTTGGCAGAGAACAGTACACCAACAGAACTGGGCCTCCAGGAGACTGTGGCCGAGTCCGTGTACATCAGCCGGCCTCTCGTTCACCGTATCCTTCCAGATGTTGATCCTGCTCCAGAACGTTCTCCCGGATGGGAATGTTTCCTCCTGACGTGTTACTCAGAATTTAAATGGCTCCAGCCAGAAGGGGGCGCCGTGGTCCGGCTTTCTTCAAGTGTTTCACAGACAGTAACAGGCTTTTAATCAGGTTTTTTTTTTACCTGTAGATGCTGAATCAGCATTTTACTGTCTGTTTTGTAGATTTAATCTCCTTTTATTCTGATTTCAAACACATTTTCTCAGAACATCACAGCCAGTTAGGGTGAAATTCTTTAAATGAGGATTCCATTTTGTCTTTTATAAAACTAAATATTTTAAATTAAAAACACAAAAATTAAAGTTTAGTAGACATTTAACACCGGTTTTCCTTAAATTGGGTCTTCCTGACTGCAGTCCTTTGTCTGGGACTCTGTGGGAAACAGTCCTGGAAGCCGTGGATCGTCTCTGGATTCCTGGAACTGTCCAGGTGAGCTAACCCCGTTTACTGGATTCAGAATTAAACAAAAACCTGATTTACTAAATAAATATGTCTGTTGTGACATTTGAGAAACGTTAGTTTAGAAAAGTCTGTTTTAGATTTTAAAACAACTTAATCAGGATATTTCAGCTCCCATGTGCCACGAGATTCCAGTCAGGATGTTAACCCAGTTTTGTGGGAATCACCTGTTTACTTTAAAATACATGGAAATGTTTTTTTTTTATTTTTATATCCGACCCGTTCCTTCCAGCTTCGCCGTTCTCAGTGACGCCAGATTCCAAACCCGGTGGGAGCAGGCTGAGATGAGGAGGCGGGGCTTCCTGCTGCTGTATTACCTGCTGCGTTCACCTTTCTATGATAAATACTCTGAGTAAGTATCACTGACCTCGGGGTTCTGACCCAAAGCAGGTAGAACAGGTTCTCGGCATCTCTGGGCTTAACCAGGTGCTCCGGATCCATTTTCAGGCGAAACGGCTGGAGCTCATTTGTAGGAAGTTTCAGGCTTTCATCGAGAATTCCCTCTTTAGGGTACGAACTTCCTGTTTCGGACCATCGGTTACCATAGCAACAACTGAAGGATAGAACTTGTCACCGAGCCTCTGATTGTAGGACTGGCCTGGTTGATCCGAGCATCTTTGGGCTCACTGAAACTCAGAACCACGAGTTTGTCAGTTTGGATCCAGGAATCATGAAGAAGTAAAAAAAAAAAAAAAAATCCAAACTGTTGTTTCAAAGTCTGACATTGTTTCATCAAATAAACAAACTTTAGACTGATCTGAATTCCTCTGGTCAGGTTTTCATCTCCAGAACTCTGAAAGTTCTGGATCTTTAACCTAAAGTGTAAAAGTTCTGGTTCTGCTGGTGAACTGGACTCAAGTTTATTCTGAATAAACGTTGATAACAACTGGAGCAGCAGAACTGATCCAAAGTCGCCCAGAACCGGAGGTCTCGGTTTGATCCTTTTAACATTCTGGGTTTTTCCTCAGGGAGAAAATCCTATTCCTGTTGAAACTTCTGGCGGATCACATTCCAGGAATCGGACTCGTGGCCCGTAAGTTCTGGTGTTTTAATCTTACGTTTGAATGTTCAGCAGAACCCTGACCCATGTTCTGGTTCCAGGTCCTCTGATGGACTATCTCCCCACCTGGCAGAAGATCTACTTCTATAACTGGGGCTGAACTGGTGACAAACCGGATCTGTCTGGACCCGGCTGCTCCTCGGAAACCCGACGGCAGCTCTGAGAGACTTTTCTTACCAGAGATTTTTCTCACATTCATTATTTTTATAATCCTGCGACTCGTCGTCGTGGTCCTCCGTGTGTGTGTGTGTTGGAGGCAGTGAGAACTCCATGGAGCGTTTTGAGCTTTATTAACATACTCAACAGGTTCTTTTTTGGTCGCCTACAATAAATATTTCCATCCTTTCATTCTGCACATGTCTGGCGGCTCGTTGGGACAAAAACAGGCGGGACAAAATGAAAATCACGTCTGAGACGGGTCCGTTTGGGTCACGTTGTTCTGATTTCTTCTCAGTGAGGCGAGGCTGCAGCGGAGCCGAGATTCAGAGCTGCAGATGCATAGTCGTGTTAGACGAGCGGCGTCAGCTGGTTCTGTCTATCAGGAGTCCGTTTGGGTTCAAACCCGCCTGAGTCCCAGTTGAAGCATGAACAGAAACATCAGAACCCAAACATGATGTTCTCATTATAAACTACACTTTGTTTTAATGTCACAGAAGAAAAGAACATTTGATTAAATGCATCAGAATTCACGAAGAAAGAATAAACTTTTGTTTTGAAAATCTGAGACCGAAACGCAGCAAACAGGAAACCACAAAACTCTGCTTTTACAAAAGGTTTTTACCCTTTGATGTTTTGTTTTATGAAAATAAAAATCCGGATTCAGCTAATGAGGGTGAACGAGGAAATACTGTCACTTCTGTAAAACTGTCTCTAGTGGAGGACAGAGGACAGGACACTTCCTGTCTCCATGCAGCTCCTCGTCCAGTCTCCTCACGTCAGTCAGCAGGCTGATGGTTCTGCTCGGGCGTCGGCGCCACTCAATACGACCCGTAACGGTCCTGAGAAAAACAACAAGAGTGTAAACAACATGTCTCGGTTCTCACCCAAAACGTCCCCTCCGTCGGAACCGGACCTGATGCTGAATCGCACTCACCTGAATCGTGTTCATCACGCCGTTGGCGATGACGGCCATCTTTCCCGCGACAGTCTTCACTCCCTGTTTGAACTGCGTTATGTCCGGGCCGGACGGGAGGACGCTGTCGAAACCCACCCCCCTCCCTGAGAAGACGACGAGGACAAAAAAGGAAATTTTAGTTACGTTTAAACCACCAGAAAGTCACATTCAGCCTTTTTCTTAGTTTCACGTCTCAGATTTCAGGTCAATTTTTGGCTATTTTTTCCCGCAACGGCTCAGTTCTGATTTTTGGGTAAAAGATCATCAGAAAGAAACACGAGTTGGAAAAGATCTAAAACTTCCTCGTCTTTAAATAAAAAAAAACTCAGCTTTAGGAAACAGAATGAAGTCTGGAAACAAAAAATTACATTTCAGTGCATATTTTTTAGAGATGCACTGATGCTGAATGGGAAGGCCGATACCGGTCCAGCTCTGAGCTGCTGATACAGATTCTAACTCGTCTATAAGAAACTTAATAACTTTGTAATTTCAGTTCAGGGCTGCGTCGGAGCGCAGTGAGAACAAATCTGTTGATTCGTGAGTAAACGTCTGATTATTGAAAAACGAAATGGTACGATAAACACCGATCAACCACTAGGGGCACCCTAGAGGGTGCTCGCTGCAGAACCACAAAGGCGGAGCTGCACCAGAGTCAGCCCCGCCCATTCACGAAAACAGCCTAGCCCACTGACTTCTTCTGTTTTTGTTTTTTGTTTGTTTTTTTATCGCAAACCTGACCCACATGAATTACGGCTGTTACTGGTTTACAAATGTTAATGCTACGTTCTATGCTCCAATTAAACAAGATAAATATATAACTTGCTACATGACAAAGCCTGAATATATCCTGAAATGAAAGTTTCTTTTAGCAAATATCTCCCCACAGCCGCTCCAACAAAACGGGCCTACAACAGCATTTCAGGCTATCGTGTGGGTTCTGGTAGTCCAGTGGCGAGATCGTAAAGTTTTGCCGTTGATGCTGGTTCGACTCTCGGTGGGGTCGGCAGCAATCTATTTAGCCAGTTGAAACATTTAATTTGTTTATATTTTAGTTGTAATGTTTATTTTCTGCAAAATATTTATGTCTCTAAAAGTTCTTTGAATTTGGTCGTTCCTAAACAGCATTTTAGTTGAAACTCTGCTCACAAATGGACTCACACTGGCTAAATAAACTAATAAATAAAACAAACAAACACATTAGTCATTATACTTTAAACGGTATACCAATAAATGGTTAAAAACATAGTACTGGCAAGTGTAGCTAGAAAGGAAGAAAAAAGTTTGCGCCGCTACTGGGAGGCAAACCTGCACAAAACTGCATGTCTATCTGACTCCATAACCACTTCACCACCACATCTGGTAAAAAGCAAGTGGTGTTACATGTAATTGTGGCATCCAGTGTGTCTTTGTAGATGGGATGTATGGTTTTTCCGGCGGTGTCTCAGTAGAAGTCATTTCAAAAATAATTTGTCAGAAAATTCACAGAATATCCAGATTTGAGAACCAAGATCTTCGGGGGAGGAGACCAAACTGAAGCTGAGATGGGAGGAAAATGCTTGAATGAGGCCAAAAATGGCTTTTGCATGTTTCTTATGAGGAAATGACAATATAACATGATAAAAAGTTCCAAAAGTTAGATTTTTAATTATATGAAACCTCAACTCCGTCCTCAATCTTGCATTTTAGATGATGTTAGCTATAACACCCTCTTTGGTTCCAGAATGCTATTAAGTCTGACAACTGGAAGGAATTGGGCTGACTCTGGTGGAATGGGCGGGGCTGACTCTGGTGCAGCTCCGCCTTTGTGGTTCTGCAGCGAGCTCGACTTGACAGAGAAAGCTGCTCTTGCCTCATCAAAGAGGCAGCTTTGGTCAGTAAGCAACACTTTGGTAAGTTTAAGGTTAACACTTTAGAATTTGAGCTAATTTGATGTGAAAATCTAAAAACGTTTTCATAATTTTCTGTTTTTATTGCGTTTCTGTAATAAGTCAATATAAACGGTTGGTTAATAAATAATTTGAAGATCAAATATTAAACACTTTTAATCTTCAGTTATTTACATGAAACAGGAAGAAGTTCAGGTTAAACATTAAACACGTTATTTATTCTGACAAAACAAAGTTTTTCTGTGAGTCTGAACCCGTGGGCGGGCGGGGTGGGGGGCGTTACCTTTGTCGCTGCCGTCTCCGAACAGATCAGCTGAGCTGATGGAAGTGTTGCCAGACAGACTCTCCAGCTTCGTCTTTGCTTCGTACTGATGGAAAGAACCGGGTCAGAACCAGAACAGAGCAGCAGAACTCAGGAACACATTTTAATAACGACTAAATCTGGATCTGTTACCAGGTTCAAACAGGAAGCTGCTAATAAAAGCAACAGAATAAAGAATATTAAATCCTGTTGAACTGGTTTTCTTTAAAAATGTCATTTAGAATTCATGGTGAAATATTTAACTAGAAGCACGTTTACAGAATGATGTCATCAGTCCTGACTGGACGGTTTGTCGGGCCAGAACTCTTTGAGTTTTAGCGGCAGGTTTTCAGAGGTTCAGATTTCTGTCCCATAAAGTTCTGATGGATCCAAACTGGACCCGGTATTTGGTTCTGGGCGTTTCTATTCGCTCACCTCGGCACTGCTCTCCCGACCAAAGAACATGTCGGAGGAGATGGCCTTGGCGTTGGCGAACTTCTCCCGGGCTTCACTGGACTCGGAGACCGGAGACACCTCAGCCTTTCTCCTGCTGGGAAGCCTGAAACCACACAAAACCAGGATCAGAACTGGACCGGGTCTGGAGAGTCCGACAGCCTGACTGAAATTGTACCTCTCTCCGATTGGCTGAATGCTAGAGATGGTGACCTCCTCTTTGGGCTCCTCCTTCTCCAGAGCCCAGGAGGTGGTGAAAGAACTGGTCCCTCCGTCGGTGTCCCACCTGGATCCAAAACTGTCCCCCACCGTGAACGGGTTGTCCTTGTACCTGAAACATGAGACTCGGGGTCATAACGGTCCCTGCTGCTCTGAGGAACCAGAACTCTGGTTCTTCTGCAGTTCCTGGTTTAATCCTAAAGCTGCCGGATTCTGATTGGCTGAATGAGTGACGCGTACTTTGGAGGTCCAGAAGTAAAATCGGGCTCATCAAACATGTCCAGTTTGGAGCGAGATGAGGACCTGACTCCCACAGGTGTTTCCTGCTCGATCACCTGCATCTCTGACATCACAGAGTGTGACACGACGCTGAAACAGGAAGAGGAACAGTCTCAGGTAAGGAGTCGACGCCTCACCTGTGTGGAGGAACACCTGGGTGGAGATCTTACCTCCTGCAGCCGAAGCCCATTCCCAGACGCTCAGCCTGCTCCCTCTTCTTCCCTTCCAGGTTCTGGAGCTTCTTCTCCTCCATTTTCCTGTCGATCTCCAGCTCCTTGTAGGCCAGACGCATGGAGACCACTCTGGAACGAGAGCGAGTTCAGGTCACGGCGCTGAGGCGTCAGACGGAACCCGGAGCAGAAGAACGAACAGGAATTCTGATGCTTACATGGATTCTTCAGCTTGTTTCTTTGCTTCGGTCACCTGCTCCTCTCTCAGCTTCTCAGCCACTTGTGCTTGTTTCTCCACCTCTGAGAAGCTTTTACTGCTCACCTTCTGGGCTCCGAGGCCTTTCTTAGCACCAAGCTGCACCGACAGGGACACGGATTCATTTAACCAGAACCAGCAGCCAACTGGGTTCTGCTTATAGTCAGAGCAGCTTCTGAAACATTTATGAGGTTTTAATCCTCCAGAAAACGTTCTGGTACCAGAGCTGAAATCAGGTCAAGGATCAAAAACCTCTCCAGACCAGAAAGATGAGGACTGGATCAGAACCAGACTCTTTGACGTTTTATCTGTTCTACTTTAAGTTTCAGAATTCTGAGAACCTGCAGCTGGGTTTGGGCTCCTTCAGACAAACTCACCCCTTTTTTAGCAGCCATGGGTTTCTTCTTCCCGATGATGGAAGTCTTTACATCTGGAACCCAAGAGGAACTCCGTTAGAACTGTTCCACCAGCTGGTTCTGATGTTAAAACCTCATTCAGAGTTAAACTGAAGCAGAAAGATTCATTCTCATCAAAGCCAGACAGCAGGCACCAAAACAACAAAGCAACTCAAGAAGCTCAGACATCAAGAACCTTTCATCAGTCCGAGAACATTGTTCCATCTAATCATCACTCCTGTAATGAAGCTCTTTGTTCCTGTTGGTCAGAAGCAGGTTATTCAGACTCTAGAAAAGCTGCAGGAACAAATCTACCCTCCGTGTCTCTGCAGATCCATACCAGCGTGAGGTTAAACATCAGGCACCATCACAAACACACAACCAGCACAGCGGGAGACCTCAGACAGGCAGCTGCTTTCACCTGAAGACATCCGTCCATCCCGAGACGACAGACGCATGGAGTCCTCTACAGGACGGGCCAATCAGAACCCACCAGCCCAAACACAGGAGGAGGAGGAGGAGGAGGTGGTGACTCAACATTCACTTCAACAAGATTTAAACTCCTGCATCAACTAGTGTCAGGATGTGGGTTCAGTTACAAAGTTACAAACTTCCTGTTTTATTATGGATCAAAACTTCAAGAACATCTGAAATCCAGAACCCGACCGGGTCTCAGAGAGCCGGAAACCGACCGGGTCTCAGAGAGCCGGAAACCGACCGGGTCTCAGAGAGCCGGAACCTGACCGGGTCTTAGAGAGCAGAAACCCGACCGGGTCTCAAATGGGCCATTCCCACCTGTACCGGGTCGGCCCGGGCCGGGTAGCGTAGGTTGTTTACATATCTGGGTGGCCTGGTATTTTTCCGGGCCAACCAAGGCTCATTCTCAGCCCTCTTCTCCAGGGGTACTGCTTCAGGCCGACCAGGGCCAACACACCCACTGCTGACAGCAAATTCACACCTTTCATTAGAGCAAGCCTCTGATTGGTGGGTAGAATCAGCCCACATGGGCTTAAGACAAGGATGTGTGGAATCAACCGGGCCAGGCTGGGGCCGACTGGGGCTACCCGGCCCGGGCCGACCCGGTACAGATGGGAATGGCCCATAAGAGCCGGAACCCGACCGGGTCTAAGCCAGAACCCGACCGGGTCTCAAAGAGTAGGAACCCGACCAGATCTCAGAGAGCAGAAACCCAACCGGGTCTCTAAGAGCCGGAACCCGACCGGGTCTCAGAGAGCCGGAACCCGACTGGGCTGCGACAGCTGGAGACAAACCATGAACAACATTCAGAGGAAGTTTTCAAACTGTTTTCCAGGGTTCTAGGTTCCGTCCCGCTTTGGGTTCTGGAGTCACCAGTCCGCTCCTGCTGTCTTTCGGTTTTGTCCCCGGCTCGGAAAGCGGACAAACGTTGAGAGTGCGTTGTGAATAAAGTTAATTGAGAAACTTTTGAGCATAAAAGGCAACGAGAAAAGTTACATGAATGACCTTTGCTTGTGATGACATCATCAGCCCCATGTGACCCGTGAGACTTGTTTTGTTGAATGAACCAATTCAGCATCATTTGAACTAAAGCTGTTCCTGTTTCCTTCTGTTGTGTCCCACCGGTCTCCAGCAGTCCCAGACCAGTTGCATTAAAGAGCCCAGAACCGTTGTGGGGACTACTCACCGATGGAGGCTTTAGGGGACGTACTCAGACCATCGATGCTCGGCCCTTCCTCTGGTTCTACGACCAGATGAAAAAACAAACCTGTTAGTATCACAACTCCGTTTGCTCTCATGAATCCTTTTTTGAAATTAAAAACCCAGAATAGAGTTTGCCAAAATCCAGACTTTTACCAGATCAGGCACACAACAACACATTCAGACAGATTAAGCAGACGTCTGACCGACTCAGATCAGATGTTTGGGGAATCTGTGTCTTTCTATAGATTACATTTATAACAGTTAACTAAGTGCTTGGTTCTGCTTACGGTTGTCATCCAGACTTTTAGGCGTTGTGTCCGTCAGCTGTTGGGTCAGGGTGGCGCCGTTCTGCTCGCTCACAGAGGATGGAGCCATGTTCCAATCAATAGCATCCTAAAAAAATAAATAACTAATTTAAGTCTTCACAAGTTCAGTTAGGAGAAAAACATCAGTTTAGACTTTTAAATTAGTTTATTGAAACTCAGCTGACCCACAGCAGAGATGACGACCACTTTCCACCATCACACACAGTAAGAAACAATTATAGAACATAAATCTATATTAATATTTATATTCAATTCAATTCAAAAATACTTTATTAATCCCAAAGGGAAATTGATTGCTGTAGTAGCTCAGAATAATAATAATAAAAAAGTAATCAAAGAGTTGTTGTATATTACAATGGCTGTTGGCAGGAAGGATCTCCAGTAGCGGTCAGTGTTGCAGCCAAACTGAAGAAGCCTCTGACTGAAGACACTCTTCTGTTGTCGGACAGTCTTGTGAAGAGAATGCTCAGGGTTGTCCATCATTTTCTTGATTGTCTGGAGAATCCTTCTTTGCATTATCTCCTCCAGCGGTTCCAAAACTCTGGCTGAGTCCTTGAAAGGGCTTGGAGTTCCTCCATCTTGTTGGCCAGTGATCTCACATTGCCCATTATGATCGATGGAAGAGATGGTTTGAATTTCCTCTTTCTCTGTCTCCATTTTGCTCCCGCTCTGCACCCACGCTTCTTGCGTTTTAGCTCATTTGGGATTTGTGGCTTCAGTTGAGGTATTATTTCAGCCTTTCCAATGTTAATCAGCTGCTCCGGATTGTAAACCAGCTTGTTGCCATGGTTACGCATCATAACAAATGCTCAAAAAGTGAAAAAAAGCTAAAAAAATAGCAGTAACAATCCTCCAAGCTTCACAGCACCAGAAACAGAAAAGTAAAGTGTCCAAAAAAATACAATTTTTCTTGAGAAACTAGAAGAAAAAATGCCCAAGAAAAGGCAAAACTTACATATAGTCAACAGAGCTACTCCAACATGCAGCCACCCAGAGCAGCGCAGTTCCGGGAAATAATTTATGTTCCCTCCAGAGAGCACACTTTGTTAAATCCTCCACTAACACAGAACAGCCATGAGATAATGTCAGATTCCCGTGGGTCCCGTGTGTCTTTTGTTGATTTTAGCACCATTTATGTGAAGTAGCCATTTTTTCCACCAACATAACTACATACAGGGTAAATATAATTTGTGGATGAGGGACACGCGTGGATGATGGAGACCTTCAGTACTGCTCTTCCCCTGTTCTACCACTAGATGGTGTTCCTACAAATTGGTAAATACCACACAATGCGTAAAATCGTTCCCACGCACGAAATAAGCGCAGATCTGTTCAAAAGTACGATTGATAAATGAGAGCCCTGGTCACTAAACCAACCTGAGCTTGTGTGTGTTCTGCAAAAAAGTCAGCCTCTTTCTTCTCAGGAGCAGGAGTTCCTCCTGCAGAGGAGTCGATCCACATCTGAAACGGAGACAGGAGGAGCTTATTTTTCAGGTATTAATCTGGTATTAATGTAACCTGGGAGTTTTAAGTATTTTGTTTTGAACTGATTTTATTGCAGAAGCCTTTACTCCTGCTCTGGTTGTTTCATTCTAATTCTAAAAACCCTATGAACTCTGAACTTCAGACACAACCAGTCACACCTTTGAGCCTTAGGAAGGATGAGGTCACCAGGAATAACAGGAGAGTCCGGAAACCAGCCGGAAGCAACAAATTTAACTTCTGTGTTCTAAAGTTCTACAAAGTGATCAACCAGGCTGAATGTGTGACACGGCCGATCCAGATGATTTAAGAATCTTGTGTTTAATAGACAGACGTGCACACACAGGTGGTGCCGCATGTTTTATGATGATGTAATTCCAACTGCATTGTTGGTTATTTTTTAAAACACAGGAAAGGTTTCTCTTTACCTTGCTGACAGTTTCGTTCGCGGCTGCAAAACATCCTCAGAGCTGACGCTGATGGTGGCGTCACTTCCTACTCCGTTTACCCGCTCTCCCCTCTCTGATGATGCAGTCCCATGCACGATCCAATGTGTAAACCCCATCGTCTCTGTTCATGGTCCCACATCCACGTCTCCTTATCTCGATAGCTTCCTTTATTCATTTTTTGTATTTTTGTTGTTCGCTGTTTATGATCCTTGTGTCGTCCCAGTCCATTATATGGTTTTCTCTTGTGCAGTGATCTGTTACAGCTGACTTCTTTATTGTGCTTTCTGCTTATTGTTTTGCTGCTCTTGTGTGTTTTTGACTTGCCTCTCTCTCGCACTCCTTTCTATGTTCTATTGTTCGTGTGTTGAGTTGGCGTCCGGTTTCTCCTGCGTATGTTTTATTGCAGAGTTTGAATGGGATTTTGTAAACGACTCCACATTTAAGTCCAGCTGGTATCTTGTCTTTTGGGTGTACTAGTCTGTTTCTAACTGGTGTGTATGGTTTTGTTGGTGTGTTTATGTTGTGTTTTTTCATCGTTGCTGTTATTTTTTTTTCTGTTATGCCTTTGATGTATGGTAGGTTTATCACTGGTTTTGGTTCTTGTCTTTCTGGGTTTCTGGTTCTTTGCTTTGGTTGTTCTTTTCTTTCTGTTGTTTGTTTTTTTCCTTCGTTTATCGCCCATGTCGGGTATCTGCAGGTCTTTAAAGCGTGTTGTATGTGTTTGTCCTCTTGTTTATGATCTCTTCCGTTATCATGTTTGCTCAGTGACATGATGTTCTGATGACTAACGCCACTATCAGCGTCAGCTCTGAGGAATTTTGCAGCCGCGAACAAAACTGTCAGCAAGGTAAAAAAGAAACCTTTTCTGTGTTTTAAAAAAGAACCAACAATGCAGTTAGAAAAGCAACACAATAAGAACATACCAAAGACGTAATTCCAAGTTTATTATTGGGGCGATGGTGGCACAGGAGTTAAGTGCACGCCCCGTAATCGGAAGGTTGCAGGTTCGAGCCCTGCTCAGTCTGTCGCTGTCGTTGTGTCCTTGGGCAAGACACTTAACCCACGTTGCCTGCTGGTGGTGGTCGGAGGGACCGGTGGCACCAGTGCTCGGCAGCCTCGCCTCTGTCAGTGTGCCCCAGGGCAGCTGTGGCTACATTGTAGCTTATCCCCACCAGTGTGTGAATGTCTGATTGTGTTGTAAAGCACCTTGGGGGGTTTCAGGATTCTAGAAGGCGCTGATTATTAAACTGAGTTAACCAGAAGGGGCCGTCTGATTTACTCTTTTGTGTGTCCTGTCGTGGGTGCTTTATAAATAAAGTTTATTCACTAGTTTGGTTTATCTGTATAAAGTCATTAACTGCTTTAAAATCTTAGACTTCCACATTTTTCAATCTGAACTAAATAAGCTCTACAGATTTAAACATCCGGCTGTTAACCACCTGATACCCCGTCTTACTCGTGTCTCTTTAGCTAATATCAACCTTCTGTGTCTCCATTACTTCTCCAAACCCTCCCATTCATTCAGAACTCACGTCTGTGCCGTATTTAGACAAAGCGGCGTTGGCCAGCTGCCGAATCTTCTCTCTGTACATCTGGGCAGCACGGCTGTTATACTTAGCATTGGTGTCATTTGTGGAGCAGCCATGTTGGCGGAAGAAGGCCGTCTTCAGACAGAAACAGAATTTGTTATCGCTTTGTGTCGGGCTGACCCTGAACACCAAATCACAGCTGACTCTAATAAACACCGTCAGATGGCAACTTACTGCATTGCTGTTGCCGCCAACCTGCATACATCTGAGCTGAAACCAGTTCCAGTTTGAGTCCAACTCAGTGGATCTGAAGAGAAACAAGAAATAATTTACCACCTGCGATCAGGGGAACGCTGATGGGAGGTCGAGCTAAACCTGCGCAACAAGGCGACAGCTCTGGTCGTCACGAAGATCTCTGAGGCTCACCTGATGAAGCTGAGGTGAACCCCCAGTGAGCGGTGGATGCCAGAGCAGTCAATGCACAGAAACACACCGTACGAGATGCTTGCCCAGCTCGGGTTTTTGGCAGCACAGTCAAAACACACCTGCACACACATCATCATGTCAACGTGGACCAGACACTCTGCAGAACAATTCAAACACCTTTTTGGATTCACGAGCCTAAGAATTAAAGTAGTTCTGATGGTGAAATGAGGCCTGACCAGGTCTAGCATAATGAGGTCGTGGAGCGTACACTGAAAATAAAAAAAAGTTTCAAGCTTCTCACTACTGCTCAGCTAAAATACAGCTGGTTCTTAAATTAATTATTTAAGCCTGAGCTCATTTATCTCACTCACTGAGTTTAAAACAAAGCATCGGTCAAATCCTGGCTTCATTTATTTCACTGCATCAAATTTGATTTATAGACTAAAAAGCAAATAAATGTTTGAGTTAATTTCCAGTCTACTTTTTTGAAATATTAATGAAACTTGAAAGTTACCACTTCTACATGAAAAACAATAAACTGAGAAAATACATCAGAATCGTGACTTTAATTGCTTAGATTAAAATCCATATTTATAATATCAGGAAGGATGTGAGACTTTATAAATGAAGACCTGTTATAAAGTTCCATCCATCCATTTTCTTCTGCTTATCTGGAGTCGGGTCGCGGGGCAGCAGCTTAAGTTGAGAGGCCCAGACTTCCCTATCCCCAGCCACTTGCTCTAGATCCTCCAGAGAATATCCCACGGCATTCCCTGACCAGCCGAAAGACATAATCCCTCCAGCGTGTCCTGGTCTCCCTTTAGGTCTCCTCCTTGTTGGATGTGCCTGGAAAACCTCACCGTGGAGGAGTCCAGGAGGCACCCTAACCAGACGCCCGAGCGGCGGATCTACTCCGAGCCCCTCCTGGACGACCGAGCCTCTCACCCTATCTCTAAGGGAGAGCCTAGTATTCGTGATCTGTTCTTTTGGTCACTACCCAAAGCTCGTCACCATAGGTGAGGGTAGGAACGTAGATCGACTGTTCTAACGTTAAGCCAGTAATTATCTTGGGTGTAATTTGCTTATTTTTAATAATGTGTTAGGTGATTTTATTTGCAGTCAAACAAATTTGGGTGACTTGAGACATTTTTAAGTAGCAGTTCTCAGATCTGTGAAGCTTTCGCTGGTAAAACTTAAACAGTTAAACTTGATGAAGCCAAAATCTTCCCAAGCAGGCAGTTAACACGAGTGGAATCACGTTACACCTAAATCAACACATAAAAACGACTTTATTAGCGCCGAACTGGGTAGAATGTCTGATGAAATAACACTGAGAACTGACACGTATTTCAATCTACCAACAAACAAGTCAGTGAACCTTCCATAATTTAACGTGATTCGATGAATTACATAATTGATATTTAATCGTGAATTAGCTCTATTAAATAATACTGGTTCGGTCCCTCGAAAGCACCGTTGCTTTAATCTTTCGTCTCCCCCAGCAAACACGAACCGTTTACGTGGCCTTCGGTCTTCCTGCCGCACCGGCAGGCTAGCAGCTGTTAGCTCCAGTTAGCAGTCGGTGCTAACGGTCCCTACCTAAACATATCAAGCTAACAAACGAGTGCCAGGTAAAAACACAACTCCACGAAGACACATCACAACCAACAGCCTCATATTTGGGTACCTTGTTCGTAGGAATTGATCTCAATCTCTTGAAAATCGTAAGAATTTCGGTCTTATTTGGTTCCGTTGCCATCTTGCCAAAATGACACTTTCCATAAGGTGACGTCACTACGGAACGTCGGTTAGCGGGAGCTCAAAAAAGCGAAAGCTTTTAAAAACTTGGATTAACGGGAAATACCTGCACACACTGTACAAAATGGTGTGTTTTAATGTACATGAAAAAAATCTAAATTATTCACAGCTAAACCATTGTGCCACCTTTCCCTCTTCAACCAATCAGGTTAGAGCTTTCACTCAGGGTCAGGTGAGAGATACCAATATGACCAAAAGGCTCCCATGATGATGACGACAACGATTTATTTGGTAAAATAAAGCTACACAACTAAAATTGTTTTTAAACATTTGTCAGTGTCAGTGCGCCCCAGGGCAGCTGTGAATGTGTGTGAATTGTTGAATGATACACTGTAGTGTAAAGTGCTTTTATTCTGAAAGACGCTTTATAAGTGCGGGCCATTTATCATTTTATCATTATAATTTTTTTACTTTGCCTTTTAAATAGCAAGTCACCCCCAAATCAACTTTTTTTTCCTGATTAACTATATAAATGTGTGTCTAATCGTGCTGCAGACATGTGTAGTCAATAGTTTTGCACGTAAGTGCATTTTAGTTGAAATTTAAACTTTCTGCCTAAAGCCTGGTTTATGCTTCTCCGTCAGCTCCGCAAGGGACGGACACGCACGGATTGACGGAAGCGTTTTGCTCTCATACTTCTCCGTCTCCTGGAGAGTGTTGCAAAGCAATTGCCCTGCAGGACAACAGAGGGCGTAGCACTGTTCTGTGGTGTCCTGTATCGGTCCAAGATAGTGTGTTTATATTGTGTTTTTTGTGTACATAAGAGACTTTTAACACGGACAATTTTGTCTCTCATTCTCCCACCTCTTCGTGTGCTCCCCACCTCTAAACCCACGTTTCCTGTCATTTCCGTCCACAAATAAAACGCTTGCTGCGCATCTTTTCACTCCTCCAGTCACGGGAGAATTAAACGTTCATATTTTTAGAGTTTTTTCGCGAGGTATTCTTCAAGCTTCTCCGTGTCTGCCACTAGTTATCCTCGGCTCTCTTTGCAATGGCAGCACTTTAAACAACAGCGGCGTCCTGACCAATCACAAGCTTGCGTAATCCGTCTCGTTCAATGGATGTTTAAAAAAGTGGGCTAGACTCCGTACGTACTTTCGTGCCTGCCCGGAGCCCTACGCAAGGGCGGATAATGGCGTTGCGTGTCTCCGCACTGACGCAGACGGAGAAGCATAAATCAGGCTTAAAACTGTCAGTGTTGTGCCGTAGTCAGGTAAAAACTCTGCACTGCATTTGAATTTAATTCTGCCATCGCTACTGGCTAAGAGGTACCCTAGGACATTAGCTGGTACCATATGATGTCACAATGTCATTGTGAGCCTGTGTGTGTATTTGTTAGCAGCTCCGCCCTCTCGGTCTGCTAGGCAACAGTATTTGCTGCATTTTTCAAACAGGAAGTGGGAGTGGAGTAATACTCTGGTCTTGCTCTTTAAGTATTTTGTCTAATTATTTTAATTATTTTGTCTTTAACTTTGAACTTCATGTTGCAGAATGTTGTTCAAAAGTTGTAGTTGGAATAAATGCAACAATACAAATTTCCTTTTACTCTAATTTCCCTCTGGGATTAATAAAGTATCTTTGAATTTGAATTGAATTCAAATTTCTATTCAGTTTGTTATGTGTGATGTTCCACTGCTTTGATCATTTATATTCTTTTCATTTTCTCAGAATATAATTGAAACGAGTCAGAGACGTCATTACCTCACAGTTCAGCGTGAGCTCAGATCTGGTTTAACCTGCTGGAGGAGAGAACCTCCTCCTCCTTCTGCAGCAGCAGCAGAGCAGTTTGTTGTGAAGCGACCAGGAGCCATCATGGAGGCAGGTGTCATCCTCCTGCTGCTGTCCTCTCTGCTGGGGCGAAGCTGGACTCTGAGCTTTTATGGAGACAGCATCAGTGTCATGCCTCTACAGAAGAACTCAGATGGAACATTGAAGGTATGAATTTAAACAACTTCATACCTGGAATGAATATTTATTTTACTAAAATGGAATCAAGCAAAAGACAGAAACAACAGTTTTACTGTCTAATACCTGAACCCGATGTTCAGAAACAGGATTGTAGGAGCTGAAAATCATGATTTTAGAAGAAGCAGACCAAACCAGTCTGGAGGAGAGATTCTTGGCGTGTTACAAGGCTGCTAGTCACCCAAAGCTGCTGTTAGAACTTTCTGTGATTTCCAGGAAGCAAATTTTCAACTTAAAAGAGTTCTAAGTGAAAAAACATTCGTAAGAAAATTATAACACAACTGAAACCAAAATAACCTCGATCTGATCTCAAGAAATTCTTAATCTGTTAGTGGAAATTAGGAATAAAGGAGGATGTTTCCAAGACAAACTCAATGGATCACTGTTTATATCATTCCAATCCTAACGTCTTCTTGATCAGGTGGAAACATTTAAATATCAGCAGTCAGTCTAACATTCATTCATCATAAATCTCTCCACAGAACTCTGTTTAAATATGACCAGACCATTTAAAGCAGGATTACATGTGACTATTCTAGTTGAACCATCAGACCAGAACCAAAACCAGGACCACGACTACATTTCTGTTGTTTTTAACCATATTTTACTGATTTTATGGAATTTTATAGAATAGCCACATGTAAACCTGCTTTAAATGGTCTGGTCATATTTAAACAGAGTTCTGTGGAGAGATTTATGATGAATGAATGTTATTGAAAGCTGTTTGAACAACCTCAGTGCAGAGAAATAGAAACATTATAACCTCTAACATCCATAAACCCACATTCAATGTTTATGAACGTCTTCTGTTATTTTATTATATGTTTTTTATATTGGTGTTATCATTTATGTTAACATCTTCATTAAATAATTTCAGATGTTTTAAATTGACTCAACTCTGCTCATCCCTTGAGTTAGGAGCCATTTTCTGACTGGATTATTTAAAGGTCAAAGATCAGATAGGAAACACTTTCTCTAAAACCTCCCTCAGACCTTTAGAAAGTCTGGATCATGAGTTCTGGTTTGGGTTCTGATGTGTTTTGACCCTGCAGGTGACCTTCTATCACAGACAGAATGGCAGAAGCGACTGTCAGAACCAGACGTCGTTTTTCTGTGAAGGAGGAACGTGTTCAGACTTTGTCCAATCAGAAGTTCTGCAAATGGACTGGGACAACTCGGATCAGGGCCGGTGGTGCCAGTCTGAAGGACTCACAACAGAAACCGTTCAACCCAATAGAACCACATTCACGCTGAGGTCAGTCCAAGTCACGGAGACAGAACTCAGGATCTCAGACGAATCTGATGTTTCTGAAACAAGAATTAATCTGCATTAACTTAATAAAACTCGTCATTCAGCAGAATGTTTTCTGGTTTTGGTCGGGCCTGACTGGTTCTGATCCAAAGTCACTTTATTTTTTATTTTACGGAATTAAGATGCTTTTAATTTAACGAATAACTTAAAGTATTTTTCTGGAGTATTTCTTTTATCCGATGGCACCATCTAGTGGCTGACAAGCATATCACACAAAAAGTCTGTCGACCCGTTTTATTGAGATGGCGACTTCACGTTTCCTGTTTATTTATGTCCTTCTGTAGCTGACAAACAGAGCTAAAACACGTTTTACAAGTATAATTCTCATGTCATGCTGTGTTTTCATATATTTATATTTTAAAGACTTACTTGTCCGTGAAAAGTTCACCAACTCTGCATCAGCCGAGGTATTCCTTAAATTTGAAGCATCTCAGCGGTAGTCTAACGCTATTGGTTAGTTCTGGTCTGCGCTCAGTTTCCTATTGCACGGAGCTCTGTGGGGTAGGGGGCGTGCTTAGCAAAAAATTGTAAATAAATGAAAGACGTATTGCTTACATTATATCACAGTACACGATGAGATAATCACTTTTACGGATTTCTGAAAACTCATACACAATTTCTGAAAGGAGAAAACTCCGGAAAGCTACTTTAATTCCCTGTTAAAATGGCTGAAAGTTAAAATCTATCAGATCAGTTTAATTCTAACAGAATAGAATATTTATCTCTATTTATTTGAATAAAATCTCAATTGAAATTCAAACAAAAGAAATACATAAAAGAAATCAACGTATTATTTTTACATTTATTTTATTTCTAAACCAATTTGATTGTCGAATATTTATCCCTGAGTGTGATTTTTTTATGCTTCTGTGTTTTTTATTTCTAAAAATTACAAAATAATAAATAAACACAAAAACATGAATTACTGAGATTAAATAAAAAAAAACATCAAACTGGGACTGAAATTTGTTTTTATTTACTTTGGGACACATAAAGATTAAAAATCTATCCTGTTGATGACCGTGGAGGTCAGAGGTCAGACAAGAAGCCATAAAAGTGAACGTTTAACATTTCTGAAGACGATGGATACAAGTTGACTCAAAAACATCGTTTAAAAAGAAATGAATGATCTGGCGGTCATTTAGAAGTTTAACACATTAAAATAGTTTTAAGAAGGTGATTATATAAATGAATAATGATGATTGTATTGAAAACTTGACGCAGTTTTTTGGAACCCTAAAATAGAATAGAATTAATAAAGTTGAATGTGATTTAAACGATGAACTTTTATTTTCTGGTGCTTTTGTGGCGAGCGTCATCGCTGCTGTTCTTGTCTGACGTTATAAAAAGAAAGTTTAAACCAAGTGGAGCATTAAAAACAACAAAGAGAATAAAAGGCGACAAACATTTCCTCATTGTTATGTGTCTGATGAATCATTTGTGACTGAGCTTCAGAGGAACATTCCGATCTTTCGCATCAGCACCAAACAGAAATCACACCAGCTTTGGCTCCAAACACAGTTTCTGTCATATCCCATGCAGGTTCGAATTACGGGGGAGTTAAGGGGAGCCTGGCTGCCCAGAAAGGGTGACAGGCTCCCCTAGAAGCCCTCAACAGCAGGAGGACACTGAAAAAGATCCTGTTTCTGCCTATATTGCGTTATTTTTATGGACTCTCAGCGTTACAGGTATTCTTTTGAGCAGCAGAGCGCTGTTTGCTGATGCACACCAGGCAGCTGCATCCTCCACACGGCCACAGTAACAATTCTAAATATGACGCCACACAATCGTTTATGTCCACTCGTGTTCTCTGGTACTTTCTGTCTTCCATTCATGCATGACGTGCTCTGCTGCTGCGGGCTCATCACCCGTGCTCCGGTGACTTCAGCTCACTGGCGCGGTCTGTGGTCGGTAGGTCCCGTTGATCTGCGTAGTTCAAAAGTAACTCATGAGGTGAAAACGTAGGAAGCCAGGAATCAGTTTTTCTGGAGGATGGAGAGGAGATGCAGGAAGATGAGAGACAAGAGGACAGGAAAAGAGTCAAATAAAAAAAACAATAAATCAAAAAAGAAAGGGATTGAAAAGGAACAGGGGCGTATCCAGGGAGTGGCCTGGGGACCCCTAAATTTATAAAGTCTACATACCTCTGCTTTGGGCCTGTTTTTTTCTTCCTCCTTCCTTGGCTTTCGGAATGCTCATCCCGATGGCTTGGGTGTTCTATTCATCGCAAAAGATATCAAAAGTTTAAACACGACGACAACACCATGTCCTTCTACAGTGCTACCCACGCACGTGATCTACGGCACCCTAAACGGTCAAAAGCATCGGAGCGGGGGCCCAAGCGGGAGCTCGTCATGCAGGCCAGATCATTTGAATTTAAATATTGATGTTTTAATTTCATGTCATTTCAGAGGGAAATTTTGAATATGTACAGGGTGCATTTCATATTACAAACATAAATTTAATACATTTGTGTATTTTTAAAAAAATTTTATTTTGCGCCCTGACCATCAGATGGCGCCCCAGGCGCCGGCCCTGCCTGGGGTAGCACATTCCACCCTTGAAATTGGATTGGCTGCTACACTAAGTTCCATTTAACCCGTCCACTGTCCTAACGGGTGTGACCCCGCGAGGAAAGTTGACCACTGAGCAGGATTGATGGTTAATCCCTTGAGGTCCACGTGGCAGGGGTGGTGAGGTGGTGCTCACTCCTGCCACATGGACCCAAGGGATAAACCATCAATCCTGCTCAGTGGTCAACTTTCCTCGCGGGGTCACACCCATTAGGACAGTGGGAGGGTTAAATTGACTTTACATTGTCCACAAAAGGACTGGGGTTACAAAAGTTAAAACAGGAGATGGCAGCATGCTCCTCTAACGTTGTTTGCAGCCCCAGGCCTACAGAACATTTCTGTATTATTTTTGAAATCTGATGCTTCTTCATTGCTGTTTAATAAATGTATAAAATGAGAGGAAATAATGAAATTAACACAATGAAGATGAATAGGAATTTAATTGAAACATTTGTTAAGTGAGAACCAGAAAACTTTTCAACAGAGGAAGGCAATCCTGGTCCCGGAGTGCTGCTGCTATTCACCATGTTTGAGCTCCAACACCTAATTTAATGTTGATTCACCCGTTTAACAAGTTATCGGGCTCTGCAGAAGCATGCTAATCACCTACTGATTTAAACCAGGTCTGCTGGAACAGGGACAACACTAAAACATGCTGGATAGCAGCATTCCAAGACCGGGATTGCCTACCTCTGCTTTATAGGGTTCTTGTAGGTGTTGGAGAGTCCAGGCTGCACAAAAACCAGTCCGGTTCATTTCTGCGGGGTCCAACAGGAACAAACCCCACACTGAGGCTTACACCCTTTCTACTGTCTGCAACACAAGAATAAATGTTTCCATGGCAACATTGACTCATTTCACACGTTACAAGCAGGTCTACATCTGGATCAGAGGTTCGGATGTGGACCCAGTTTAGACAGATTCCTCCTGAAGTTTAATCTCCTTCAAATTTTACTACTGAACTACCTGATTACTTAATTTTTCATATTTAATATTTAAGAAACTTTTTCTTGTTTTAAATATACTTTAAAAAATCTTCTGAAACAAGAAAATTGGCTTGTTGATATAACATTAACATTTATTGACAGTTGTGTTTCTGGTCCTGGTTGTTCCCAGGGAGTCGGGATGCTGCTGGACGTCCAACGTAGAAGGAAAAACCAGCTGGACCAGTCGGGTAGACCTGGATCTGGGAACCCGATCTGATTCCCTCAACCTGAACAGCTGTCCTGTATCCACAACAGTGCCTTCTCTACGGTACGAAAGTCACCGCTGTTCAGATTTATTTGCATGTCCATTTAAAACAAACGTTTGTGTTAAAATACCCAGACAACGGATTTTTGAGCAGCATTATTAAACCGATCTTCGACTCCAGGATTCCCCAGAACTGTTTCACCAGAATTCGTCTTCTGGCTCATGATCCGGATGGAGACGTGGTGAGATGTCGCTTCACTTCAGAAGCTTCAGTTCCTGCCAACTTCACCCTGGACCAGGTGATGAAACATCTACAGAGAAAATGACTTCCCCTCTATCACAGAGACGTTTCCTTTCTGCAGGAGAGAGGCTTGTCTTCCTGTTTGCTTCCAGTCACTTTATTATTCATACGTTTTTGGAGAAAAATAAACTCAGACAGAAGAAAATCAGTTAAAATATGAAATTAAACTTTCATCAGTAAAATTACATTATTGAATAACAGACAAAAACTTAATTATTATAAATAAAAGTTGCAAACCTTTCCAATAGGAGCGAAACCTTTAAAATGGAACTTATGAATAAAGTAGAAATGTTTTCCTCCCCAGTGTCTCCAGAATGTATAATTTATTTGAAATATTAACTTTTGTCAGTGTGATTAAGGATCTGGACTAAGTTTATGTACTTATACAGATTATTTTAACATTTTAAATGTCTTGCTTCCTCTCAGTCTGCGTGCACGTTAGGAAACGCAGGGACAGTCCAAAGTGGGGTGCATGTGTTCGAGCTGCTCCTGGAGGACTTTCCCTCATCAAACATCTCTCTGACCTACTCAGACGGAACGTCTGCGTCCCGAGGAACCTTCAACACCAACTCACCTCCTCTCTGTAGCGTAATGCTGCAGTTCTCTGTTGAAGGTGAGTCCTTTAGGCACGCACACGCACACACACACACACACACACACACACACACACACACACACACACACACACACGCACATGCACACGCACACGCACACACACACACACAGTATATAGTGCAAAGTCCAACACACTAACCTGTGTACGGCCTGGATTTATTACAAGAAAGCCTATGACTCAATGCTGCATTCATGGATCGTTGACTCATTGCCTTTCTAACTAGTCTTCCAGCCTGTACTGTGAGACCTCTTCAAATGGTCCAGAACGCAGTGGCGCGTCTGGTCTTCAATCAGCCAAAAAGAGCACACGTCACCCCTCTGTTCATTGAGCTCCACTGGCTACCATTGCTAGCAGCACGCATCAAATTCAAATTGCTAACAGTAGCATACAAAGTCCGAGACGGTACGGCTCCCATCTACCTGAATCCTCTTGCAAAGGCTTACGTCTCGGCCCGGCCGCTCCGGTCATCACAGGATCGTCGGCTAGCAGTGTCTACACCACGCTCAGGACAATCCAGACTCTTCTCATGCATCGTTCCACAAATGTGGAATGACCTTCCAAGCACTACCAGAACTGCGGCTTCCTTTTCAATTTTCAAGAAACTCCTGAAGACCCTAGCCTGGCAAGCCAGACTAAATAAATGTATTATTTATTAGAATTTGGTCTAGTTCACTAGGCTAGAAGACCCTGCTCTTCAGAGAGCATCTTCTTAACCAGCACCTTCCCTGCACCCAACCCCCCTCTCTACCGTCCACTCCTTTGTTCCCTCCTCTCCATGATTGATGTCAAGTTGTTGTTATTGTTGTTGTTAGCCTCAAGGGCAACATGCCGATTATCACTTGTAAGTCGCTCTGGACAAAAGAGTCTGCTAAATACATAAACATAAACATTGAATTCTTGGAGCTGTACAACATCAACAGAACTCTGAGAGCCTTCGTTGTAAACTCAGTGGGGCCGTGGAAAACCACTCTTGAGGCCAACTGCACAATCTACATCAAATGTGGCGTATACCAAGGAGACGCCCTGTCCCCACTGCTGTTCTAGGTCTAAACCCCCTCTGCCAAATAATCAACAAGACTGGCTATGGATACCGACTCAAGAATAGCACCACAATCAGCCACCTCCTGTACATGGATGACATAAAGCTGTACCCTAAGAGTGAACGAGAAATCGACTCAGTGATCCACACCACCAGGATCTACAGCACTGATGTCAGAATGTCATTCAGACTTGAGAAGTGGTGACAAAGAAAGGGAAGATAGTCCACTCAGAAGGGGTCTCACTCCTAGAAGGAACAATGCAACTTTGATGAAGCCGCAAGGAAAGGAGCCACAGCCATATACCTACAACAAGTAAGGCGAGTCCTAAGAAGTCAGCTCAATGGCAAGGACAAGACCTGGGCAACCCACAGCTACAGATATCCTGCTGGAACAATAAGCTGGCCAAAGGAAGAAATACAGACCACAGATGTCAAGACACGGAAGCTCCTAACCATGCATGGAGGGTTCCATCTAAAATCCAGCACACTGAGACTGCACACTACCACTACCACAAGGGATGTACCACCGACAGATAATTAAAGTGGCGGATATCAAGAAATCCTACCAACGGCTAGAAAGAGCTGGTCTGAAGGACAGCACAGAGGCACTGAATATGTCTGCAGAGGAACAGGTCCTGAACACCAGAGCAACAGAGGCCAAGATCTATCACACCGGACAAGACCCAAGGTGTAGGCCCCTGAGACAATCCACCACATAACTGCAGGGTGTAAGATGCTGGCAGGGAAAGCATACGTGGAACGCCACAACTAAGGGGCTGGCACCGTGTACAGAAACATCTATGCAGAGTATGGACTGGAAGCCCCAAGGTCAAAGTGGGTAACACCTCCTAAGGTGGTTGAAAACGAGAGCCAAGCTCCTGCGGGACTTCCAGATCCAGGCTGACAAAATGGTGATGGTGAACCAACTGAACATTGTGGTGGTAGACAAACAACTGAGTACAGCCGTTGTGGTTGATGTGGCTAAACCAAGTGATGCAACATCAGGAAAAAGGAGCACGAGAAACTAGAGAAGAACCAGGGCCCCAAAGAAGAACCTGAGAAAGCCTGGAGAGTGAAGACATCAGTTTGCCCGTGGTCATCGAAGCACTTGGGGCAGTAAGCCCCAGACTGGAGGAGTGGCTAAAGCAGATACCCGGAAAAACATCAGACATCCCAGTCCAGAAAAGTGCAGCTCTAGGAACACCTAAGATACTGAGGAACCCTTAAGCTTCCAGGCTTCTGGTAGAAGATCCGAGCTTGGAACGAGGAGACCACCCGCGGAGGGTGAAATGAGAATGTATTTATTTTTGATAGATGTATTGAAAAGCTAGGAAATAACTAAAAACTAAACTATGATTAACACAAATATAATCCAAATAGTAACCAAAAATTAAAGACATTTAAAATCAAATATTAACTCTGACATGCAGATTCATGTCTGAGTTTTTATTACAAATCCAAACTAAAGACAAAAAGCAGATTAAGGTTTTTTTTGTTGTTTATGTTCCAGTTCTTCCTCCCATCTCGACCTGTGTAGCCGGTTCTATGCTGCCCATGTTCCTGTCCAGAACCCCATCACACAGAGAGGTTCTTCATGCCTCTCCGGGCCAGACGTTCCAGCTCTACGCCCAGGCTCAGGCCCAGAACTCCCAGTACGGACCGCTAACTTCTATCTGGTGTTGTTTTGTAGCTAAACACACATCCCTCCGTTTGGTTCTGTCTGATTTGACTTGTTTGAAGGATCCGAAGCTTCCAGGTGAGCGGACCTGGGAACATGACCCGGGAGTTCAGCACTGACTTGACTGGGAAGGCCGAGGTGATTCTGAGCTGGACTCCACAGCGGCGTGACCTGAAGAGACTGGTACCAGTCTGCTTCACAGCTGAAACAACACAAACGTGAGGTTTTTCTCTACCAGAACCAGCAAAACAAACACTTTTATTTCCTCCTTTCTTTTGTTTGTACAGGCTCCGCAAAATTTACAGTAAAAAAGCGTCTTCATGACTTTTTTCCTTCCTTCAAATGCGCAAAGAAACCTCAAAGCAACTGAATCTAATCAGGACAGTTTCAAGTCAAACATGATGCTCTGACTAATGAGATTTTTCATTTAAGTTCTCTTTACTCAAATTTCAAATTTCAGCATCAGCTCCAGACAAAATGTTAAAATCTGTTATTTCGTTTATTGTCTCCATGTTTTTTGTGGTTGTTACTTGTTTGTTCATTTGTATCCTGCAGCCAATCAGAGATGAGATGTGTCGTTGTCATGGTGACCCGTGCAATTAGCACCCAAGGTTTGTTACCTTTTTTACAATCTGTAAACAAACCATAGACATTAATATAAACTAGTTTGTTTTAGGTTTAGTTAACAATGTTTAAACAGTTAAATTGTGTTTTCGTGAAATGAACCCCGAACAGTTTGGATTTGATGTAAACTGATGCTACATTCTTTAGAGCACGATTGTGTGGATGGATGGATGGATGGATGGATGGATGATGGAAATAATTCATTTAAATATTTTTTAGAGAAGCTGATTCCTCTAAACCCGAGACCATAATCTTGAGTTGGAAAAGGGTAGAAGGCCTTCTCCGGGTCAGGGACGAGGTCCTGCCTCAAGTGGAGGAGTTCATGTTTCTCTGGGTCTTGCTCACGAGTGAAGAAAAGATGGAGCGCGAGACAGCTGGATTGGTGCTGCGTCTGCAGTGATGCGGGCGTTGTACCAATCTGTTGTAGTGAAGAGAGAGCTGAGCCGGAAGGCAAAGCTCTTGATTTACTGGTCGATCTACGTTCCTACCATTATGGCCACGAGCTTTGGGTAGTGACCGAAAGAATGAGATCGCGGATACAAGCTGCCAAAAATGAGTTTTCTCCTCCAGGAGGCTGGGTTCTCCCTTAGGGATAGGGTGAGAAACTCGGTCATCCGGGAGAGGCTCGGAGTAGACCCGCTGCTCCTCCACATTGAGAAGAGACAGTTGAGATGGCTCGGGCATCTGGTCAGGATGCCTCCCTGTGAGGTTTACCAGGAACGTCCAACCGGGAGGAGACCTAAAGGAAGACACAGGACATGCTGGAGTATCGGCTGTCCAGGGAATGCCTTGGGATATACCCGGAGGAGCTGGCCCAAGTGGCTGGGGAGAGGGAAGTCTGGGCATCCCTGCTTAGGCTGCTGCCCCCCGCGACCCGACTCCAGATAAGCGGAAGAGGATTGATGGATATTTTCTTTTATTTTAGGACATTTTAACCCTCCCACTGTCCTAATGGGTGTGACCCCGCGAGGAAAGTTAACCATTGAGCAGGATTGATGGTTTATCCCTCGAGGTCGACGTGGCAGGGGTGAGGTGGTGCTCACTCCTCACCCATGCCACATGGGATAAATCATCAACCCTGCTCAATGGTCAACCTTCCTCACGGGGTCACACCCATTAGGACAGTGGGGGGGTTAAATTCTAATTTCTGCTATGAACCTTGATTTTAATCCTAAACCTGAAACTTTTCAAAATTTGAAAAGTTGAAGTAAGTAAATTAGTAACTTAACTTTATTTGAAAATCTTAAATTTCAAAAGTATATAATGTCTTAACATGAGTATAAAACATCATTTTTTAACATTTCAGAAATCCTCTTTAAAAGAGTTGACCTGTGATAATAATTAACATCTGTGTAGTGTTTGTCACACACACACACACACACACACACACACACACACACACACACACACACACACACACACACACACACACACACACACACACACACACACACAGACACAGACACAGACACACACACAGACACACACACAGACACACACACAGACACAGACACAGACACAGACACAGACACACACACACACACACACACAGACACAGACACAGACACACACACACACACACACACACACACACAGACACAGACACAGACACAGACACAGACACAGACACAGACACAGACACAGACACACACACACAGACACAGACACAGACACACAGACACACAGACACACACACAGACACACAGACACACAGACACACACACAGACACACAGACACAGACACAGACACACACACACACACACACACACACACACACACACACACACACACACACACACACACACACACACACACACACACACACACACACACACACACACACACGTCATGAGCCGGGGTGAGTACTCTTTTCATCTTCTCACGATCTCTGAGTGCTTGGTTTCAGGAGAGGGAGCAACCGCTGTTTCTAATCAGTTGATCAGCGGGCCGGTTTATAAGGAGGAAGGTGGACATGACTCGACGCCGGATGATTGCTACTGACTGGTAGTTTCTAGCCCTCGCTTATCTCTAGCTCTGGTTTCTCTAGTGTGTTTTTCTCTCGTGACTTGGATTGATACTTTTTATGGATTTACTCACCTCACATCTGGATTACCATCAGGATTTTCCCGACGCCGTTTTGGATTATTCTCTGGTTCGTCTCCCGGTTCACCCTCCTCCAAGTGCCGACCTGATCTCCTCCACCTCTCGCTCCCTCTCCAGAACCACCCCGGTCCAGATCCAATTTCACCATTCACCTCAACCGCTCTACATTCATTCTCTGGATTTACCCCAGCTCACCCTTCCCACACACGTCTCGTCTCTCTAAGCCACGCTGCTTCCCGTTTCTGCACCCGCTGGTTTTCCAGTGCGCTCTTAGTTCATCGTTTTGTCAATAAATATTATTATTTTTTCAAACAACCCGACTCTGACTCTGATTCTGCATGTCTTGGGTTAGACTCTTGCCCCACAACATGACAACACACACACACACACACACACACACGCACGCACGCACGCACGCACACACACACACACAGACACACACACACACAGCGATCCCTTTAACAAACCTTTTGTTTGTTTAAATCCTGATTTTTCTGACTGACTTTGTGTTGGAGGAAGCGCGTCTGCATTAGATCCAGACCCAGGAAGACAGGAATCATTTAGATGTTCCAGGATCAGTCGTATTAGTCTGTTTTGTCCTCTGAAACCAAACCGTCTGAGACGACGATCAGGATGTTGTGATTGACAGGCAACGCCACCGTCGCTTGCTCCCCTAACAAGATGACGGTGATGCTGGAGAAGGCGTCCATGCCGGACATCGATGAACACTACCTCAAACTTAAAGACCCGTCCTGTTCGCTGGTTTCTAATGACACCTACATCATGGGCACCATGTCCTTCAGCACCTGTGGAACCACACTGGAGGTATGAGCCAGCATGTTCTTGTGGCAGAGTTTTTGTCTTTCTTCCACATTTTTCATGTTTTCATTTCCATGAAACAGGATAAAGGAGACTACATCGTCTTTAAGAATGAGATCCACTCCTTCGAGCGTCCCACTGAAGTCATCACCCGGAGAAAGACTGTTCAGATTGACTTCTCTTGTGAGTTTCCTAAAACCGTCACCATCTCCAGCTACTATAATCTCCACCAGTCCGACTACATCTTCACTGAGTCCAACTTCGGCAGCTTCGGTTACACCTTTGAAATTTTCCGTGATGGTAACTTCACACAGAAGGTGGCGTCGGACGCGTACCCAGTGCAGGTCAAGCTGATGGAGACGATCTACATGGGCATCCAAGCCAACTCAGAGCTCCCGAGCGTATCTCTGTTTGTTGAATCGTGTAAAGCAACTCCTGATGAGAACCCAAAGAACTCCCTCTTTTATTACCTCATCCAAAACGGGTAGGTGGTGAACGCCGGAATCTCAGAGGAACTTCCCAGGAAGCTGTTGCTTGTGTTTGCTCACTTTAACAATTGTTGTCTTCCAGGTGTCTGAAGGACGAGACGGTTAAAATCCACCCGTCCAATCAGACTTCCTTCAACTTCGAGCTTCAAGCCTTCAAGTTCAATGGAGAGTTTGACCAGGTAACCAAGAAATCATCTGAATTCCAAAACGGAAGAATCAAATATGGAAGATCCGCCGTTCCTGCCTCACTGGATAAGATCACTGGAGTTTAGCATGGGTGACAGGATACAGCCTCCAGCAGAACCAGAACCAGGATGACTTTGGCACCATTGGACCAAAATCAGATCAGATCAGATTAAACTTAAGAAAACTAATAACTTATTTATGTTTGATCCAAACCAAATCTCACATCCCGCAGGTGTACATCACTTGCTCCGTCATCCTGTGTGAACCCGGAAGTCCGTTTTCCAGATGCTCTCAGGGATGTCTGAGTAACCCATCCCGCCGACGGAGACGAGGGCTGAGCAAGGAGACCACCGGACACTACATTACCCAGGGTCCCCTGCAGTTTGTGGACTTAGCTCCGCCCATTCCACCCAAAGAAGAAAAGTCAGCTGGAAAGCCGAGGATGGACCCATCTGCTGAAGGTCAGAACATGAACAACCTGTTGGGGTCAGAAATGGGTCAGAACCAAATGAACTGAGTAGAATCCTAAACCGCATCCTGTTGTTTTTCAGGGAATCCTCCAACAGCGACTCCTGAAACCTGCTCGTCTGACCGGAGCTGGGGGATCAGGAATGTGTTCTCCGTCAGCTTCTCCACCCTGGTGTTTGCTGGAGGCTTCGCTGTTTCCCTCATACTGTTGGCTGTGGTTCTTTACCGCTTCAGGAGGAGGAGGAAGTCTGAAGACCAGAATGTTCTCATCGACTCAGACGTTGACCAGTAAACGGATTCTTGATCCGACCCAAACAGGATCACAGTACCAAGGTCCTCTTCAGCTTTCTTCTCTGTAGCTGGGTTAGGGTTAGTGTTATGTGAGTTTTATTTCTGCAGGTGATGGTTTCAGCTAATCCTTGGCTTATAACTAGATGAAAGAATGAAATCAAATAATTACTCTTGATAAAGTCGGATCAGTTACTTAACGTTCGATGATTATTTGTAGTTTACAGCAAACGAATACCGGTTAGAACATTAAATTGGACATATCTACTTTAGAGAACCCTTGAATGTAACCTAGGAGGGGGAGGAGTCAGGAGTCAAGGGTCAGGGGTTATTTAAACATGTTTCTGCTAATCAGATAATCTCCTGTGAAGTTCACTTTCTCTTTCTGGTAAACTTTCCAATGATAAAAGCAAAGGCGGCGTGCCTAAAGACCTCACCTGACCTTTTCCACACCTTCATTATTCCTTAGAACCTGTGGGAGCAAAGTTCTGCTCAGACCGGTTCTGCTGCTCCAGATCTCAGCAATATTCAGAGGAGCAGACAGCTTCTTTGTAACAATAAAACAAATACCTTCAGTTTTAATCCTGTTATGAACCATTATTCGGCCTTTTGATGTATTCTCATTACTATATGGGAAGTGGTGTATTTTCAAAATAAAAAGTGGGATGGGCTTTCTGCTCATATTCTATAATAAAACATGTCTAGGACACTGTGGGGTGCACTTGTTTCTTTTACGTGGCTCAGTTTGTTTTTCATATTCAGATATGTTTGTGTCTAATATTGATGAGATAATTTGGCCAGAAGATGAAATGATATTTACTCTGACAATCAGAAGGATCTACAGACGACAAACACATTCTCAGTGTCATGTTCTGTATCCCTTTGTTCCCCAGCCCCTCCAGTTCCCACTCCAGGTTTTCCTCTTGTGTCCCATTATTATCCCCAGCCCTCTGTAGACTTCCCTCAGGTGTCCTTCTATCATTCCCCATTCCTAATCAATCTTTTTTAGTCCTCCTTATCCGTCTAGTTATTAGTTGTTTATTTTTGGCCCTCAGTCTTTAGGTTTAGTTTTATCATTGTGTTATAGGTTAAGGTTCTGTCATCCTGCTTGTTTCCTTCCCCCTCAATTAGATTATTGTATGCACCTGCCTTCCCTCCAGATCTCTCTACTCACATCTGTCACCTGTTTCCCCGATTGTTTCCCTCTGTGTATATCAGGGCTGTGCAGAGACCTTTGAAGGGGCGGGTGCTCAAATTTAAAAAGGGGTGCACAGAATAATATTTTCCAAACACCATGACATAACCACAGTATACCCGGCTGAATAACAAATCATATTTATTAGAAATTCAAAATGGAAGCGAATCATTATATACACCATAAGGACAATGTAAAGCAAAAGTAACTTGTTTTGGTAAATGGTCTGTATTTGTATAATGCCTTCTTAGGGTTCTACAACCCCCCAAGGCACATTACAACACAATCAGTCATTCACACACACACATTAACACACTGATGGTGATGAGATATGATGTAGCCATAGCTGCTCTGGAGCGCACTGACAGAGGCGAAGCTGCTGAGCACAGGCGCCACCAGTCCCTCCGACCACCACCAGGAGGCAAAGCAGGTTAAGTGTCTTGCCCAAGGACACAACAGCATCAATCTCTGATTAAAGTCAGGATCAAACCTGCAACCTTCTTATTACTGGACAACCTGCTCCACCTCCTGATCTATTGCTGTCCTGTTTTACCTGATGATGGGGTACAATGTAGCTGTTGCAGGGTTGCTCCTCTTGCTGCTGCTGATGATGCTGGAGGGCAAGGCTGTGTTGATCTCAGACTGTAGGTAGTAAAACCAACAGAGGAGAAATGTTAGTCAATTACAAAATTAATGTAAGATGATAAAAAAAATGGCAAAAATTGGTGAAAATACTTAGAACTGTAAGACAGAAATATCTGAGACGAAACCTGTGGTAAATAAATGGAAATCTAAACATTAGTGGATAATAGAGGAGTTTATGTCAGAAATAAGAATGTGACCGAAATATAAACAGAAAGAGTTGTGTGTGTGTGTGTGTGTCTTCAATCTCCTCATGTGATCTATCACTCTCCACTTGCTGTCCATCTGAGAACAAGGCAAAATAAGCTATTGTATGAATGAATTATGTAGTTATTCACATTTAACAGGTCTTGCACCTAATCCATGATCAAGAGGCTAACAAAAACATTTTCTGGCATCAAAACATTGCAGTTGTGTATATTATTGTTTCTACACTTGTTGCTGTGATGCAACTTACCTGTACTCTTTTTTTATCCAGCTGGTGAGGGACCCACTGCCTTTAGCTGCCTCACATAGCTCTTTCTGTCGCTGCTTCCGCCTCCTCTCCTTACGAGGCATGTCTGCACAATGATATATCATAATTAATTTACAAATATTTTTTCATGCATATAAACCTCATGCACACACATACTGGGACATTTCATTCCTTTTCCAGAAAACTAACTGCATATAATTTGGCCACAAATTTGCTTCATGATGCTGAACTAAACACAGAACTGTACAGATAAAATAATTTTGCTGTGAAAACTGTAGTTTTTTTTAAATGTACATCTTTAAAACATAATGTTTTGTAATACAATGCATTCAAAAAGAGAGCAAATATACACTCCAAAATTTTGAGAATACGCATAGTATTAGTGAACTGTAAAACCCACCAGAAGGGCTGAGAAACCTTAAAATCTAAAACAAAACTATGTTCCCTAAAACGCTGGACCGAATTTACAGATAAGGACATAATATTTTGTAACACAAAACTTGTGACGGATGTTACCTTTAGTATTTTTCTAATTTCCTTTCTTAAAAGGTAGCTAAATTTTAAATTCGTTCAAGTTTTATTAGTCTGCGAACCAGGAAGTGAGTCTGTAAACAAGAAGCAGGGCTGTGCCAGACCCCAGTCACGTGACACGCAGCAGCGATAGGAATGCAACTTTGCGGTACCTAGTTAACAACAACAGCATTTTATTGGCAAATTCCCAATATTTAAGATTGAAAAAATATTTTCGTACAAGTACTTATGTACAGAATGTTTTTTGTTACTCCTAAATCTACTGAGGTTCAGAATCGGTAACCAGCCACAGACACACACCCAGCTAGTAATATATCACACACACCTAGTGCCACAAAACAACTTAATAATGTACAAAATAATCTAATAACTGTGTATAGTAGTGTGCATCCTACTTACCGGTGTTAGTCCGTTTCTCCCAATCAATATGTATGTCCTAAAAGCTCTGCACCGCTCGCTCGGCCATGAAGAAAATGTGGGTGCTCGCAGCTTGTTGTGACCGGCTGTGCGCTCTGGCGTGAGGAAGAAACGGTATGGTCACGTGACTCACGCCAGCTATATAACTTTATTAAACAGAAATTTTATTAATTATTATTTTTGTTATTGTTGAGGGGGCACAAACAGAAAATTCTTTTAAAAAAAAATCATTAAACCTCAAAAAGGGCACTTTGGGCACATGGGACTAAAGGGGCAGGGCCTCAAGCACCCTCCGCCCCCCTTCTGCATGTGCCTGGTGTATATATACCCTGTCTGTGTCTTTTCAGTGGACTCTAGGAGGGTCCTCTACCAGAAGCCTGGGAATTTGAGGGTTCTGCAGTAGTTTTTCCTGGGATCTGCTTTAGCCACTCCTCCAGTCTGGGGCTTACTGGCCCTATGACCACGGGCACCACCAATGTCTTCACTCTCCATGCTTTCTCAAGTTCTTCTTTGAGGCCCTGGTACTTCTCTAGTTTCTCATGTTCCTTTTTCCTGATGTTGACATCACTTGACTTCAACCACATCTTTTTAATGTGTTTGTGTTCTCACTTCAGACATTCTCTGCTGATGGAAGCAGCGCTTTATAAAAACAGATGGTGACGATGGTCTTAGCTGTGTTTTAGTTCCGATAACAAAAGCAGTGATGATGTTTCTGACCGAACAGGTCCTGGTCTTGTGACTGCTCTTGACTCATCCATGTGAAGAACAAGGCTGAAAGATGCCAGCTGATGATGAAAGTCTGAATTACTGGAAGATGAATCTGAAAGCAGCCGGAACAATCCAGAGTTGCATGAGTGACTGCTCAGAAGATTAACAGCTGACACAAAATATGTTACAAAAATTCACTGGAAATGGTCCAAAATAAACTAGCAAGGACCAGAAGAGTCATTCATGCCCTTTCACTGTCAATAAAGTTAATTTTCACATCTAATTGGTTTTATTTTCAGGCGAAGACATTTTTTTTCTACAGAAATCTACAAATGCTGATGTAGCAGAAGAGACTCAGCAACCCCACAGGCTCACAGATTGTTGACAAAGAAGGCATAAAACATGACAACCCCCCACCCGAATGAGAAAGAAATCTGTTTCTGTGGCATTCCTTCCAACATGATTGAGACATTAGGCTGTTAGTGATTATTTCACAGTAGAATTCTTACTTATGGAACCTTTAAGAGGAGTCCTATGATGAATCTCGGCTAGGCATGACATCCACATACATTATAAACGTAGACGCCCCGTGGACTGGCGCTGCCTATGGAAGCTGCTCTAGTGGCTGGTCGCAATCTTGGATGGGTCTCCATTTGCCCCGAGGGCATTCATGTCTACTGAGGAAGATGTTTACCAACTAAAAACACATTTTATTCAACTTTTTCCCAAAATCAAACTTATGGAATGATAATTAAAATATTTATTTAATTAAACAGAATAAATTAAAGTATAAAATCCCAAAAGGTAGGCTAGAAAAGTCAATAACATTCCCATGTGATCTGTTTTTGGTAGTATACCGGCTGTTCCAACAATAGGCTGCACAAAAAGCAGGCATTGTTGCTCTCTCTGCAATGACTCCAGTTGGGTTTGGAGCAGGACCGCCAAACTCCAGTCATCAAGGGCCGGTATCTTGCATGTTTTTGTCGTTTCCCTGTTCCAACACCGTTGATTCACCTGTGTAGCAGCTCATCAAGCTCTCCAGAAGTCTGTTAATCACCTGCTGATTGAAATCAGTTGTGGTTGAAACAGGGAAAACACAAAAACATGTGGGATAGTGGACCTAGAGAACCGGAGTTTAACACCTGTGGTTTGGAGAGTCAGGAACCCATCCAATATGGTGGTAAAGTTGTTACGCTCTTCAGTGCCCAATGGGGCATCAACATATTAATATGATTACATCGGTTGTTTGTCTTTATGTTGTGATTTATAAAGTTATTTGTGTTTTGTGTAACCTTGTGTGTTTGTTAAAGTTAAAGTTGTAGCTGCAGCTTTTGTTGCTGTAACTCTGGCTGACCGGCGCGATGTCACGATTATTGTAAAAAGTGTTGTCATGTGAATTATTGAGCTGATTTCCTGTAAGAGTTGCTATTTCTCTCTTGGGTTTCTCATCAAACATTTTTGTGTAGCCCATCCCATAATACAACAAAGCAAGTTCAACACAGCATCTTCTTTGTGCTGTTTAGCAGAAGGAGTGTTTGTATAGTGCATTGTTTCACTTTACAGGAAAGAACAACAGGTGCAGAGAGCGAATCCGGTCATTGGCACAGCTAAAATCTTGGGCACGTACACTAATATGGAACTTAGGTGTACCCATTGACTGTTAAAATAATGCACAAACCCTCAGTGATGTCACCCATAGGTTTCTCAGGCTTCGACTTGGAGCCAAGTGGGCGGTTACAATCAC